CTTGAAAAGCAAAGGCTTCCTTGCTGCTAAAGCCTAAAAGCATTGACATGAAGTACAATCCAAAGCTGGAAAGGGCTGACAGAGAGCTCCTGACTAACAAATCCTTGACATTTCTGTTGCACAAGAAGGGTTTACTTTGCATATCCCAGGAAAGAAGTATGCATACATGCCTGGATATTATTCATATGCTACAGAGCTGCATCTTATATATAATTGTCTTTCAGTAAAAAGGTTGCAAAGAGAAAATGTTGTTCTTAAGTACATTTCTGTACAAGATGAACATGTCTTACAAGAAGAAAAAAAATGTTAACTGTGTGTGCTATTCACAAAGTATTGCTAAGTTCCTTTGTCAGTTAGTTGATGCTGAGATTGCTGAAAACAGCTATGGAGCAGTGCCAATAGAAGAGACTGAGGATAAGAATAGGACCATGACTGCTTTACAGAAATTTAAAAACTGTGCTAGAAGATAGAAAGGAGCTATATATTGATGAGATTGTTTTGCTTTGCACTCACTCTTTTCTCACAATTATATTGAAGAATCTGTCTTTCTTCCAACATTTACAGGAGGAAAGCCAGAGCTGGCTAAGGAGCAGCCTAAGAGAAAAGCAAGTTTCAAAGTTATTCCCTTTGCAAATAATACTGCAATTTAACTCAGCACGTATCACAGCTTGTTTAGAAGGTAGTTAAAATTGGCATGTATGCAGTCAAATCTGTGTCTACCTTACTACTTCTGCTGTGTTTCAGATGACCAGAAAATAGTGTGGTTTTAATTGAGAGAAAGTGATTAAACATTGCACTTCATCCTAAATGGAATTCAAGTAAGAGTACAGTTTTGTTAGGTTGCAAAATTCCAGTGATTAGCAAATAATAAAAGATGCACCAGTTAGTACTTTGGTTTGAAAAAAACAGGACAAAAACCCAGACAGAAAAGCTCTATTTCGAGTGGCTGTTGTGTGACAGTGTATACCTACTGGTTATGGGTGTTGGAGACTGCTAGAATGCTGTGAAGAAGCAAAATGATCCACCAGATCTTTTTCATTAATTAGCTGTTAACCACATGTTGTGCAGATTTCTGAACTACAGAGAGTCTGTGTCCAACGTGAGTGATGAAATCCTCACCAGTTTGTATTTTTCTTGGAAATTAATAAATTATAGAGATGTCTTTGCATTAAATATAATTAATTCTGTTAAGTAAATAAGCAGTGAAGCAGAAGGGAGAGGCATGAGTGTCAGATTTGTCATTCACTGGATTTTCTGTCTCTACTTACCCAAAATCGGTTTTCTTTCCTTGCCTTTCCTGTGAAAACAGTTCATTGTCTTTTGTTCTGGGAAGTCAGATTCAGTAAAGTTAAATTAGGGCCTTCACCCTGTGGTCTGATGGAGACCAACCCTACTGGTGGAATGGGGAGGAGAACCAGAAGAAAGAAAAGGGAAAACCTGAGAGTTGAAATAAGAAGAGTTTAATAATTGAAATAAAATATAATAATGATTGTAAGGGAAAGAAAGAACATGAAAGAGAGAAAGAAATAAACCCCAAGAAAGGCATGTGATGCCCAGTACAATGGCTCACCACCTGCAGGCCCAAGCCCAGCCCTTCCCCCAGCAGTGATTGCCCTCTCACATCCAACTCCCCCAGTTTTACACTGCCCTTGGCATTCTGTGCTATGGAATGTCCCTTGGACCACTCCAGGTCACCTGTCCTGGCCATGCCCCTGCCAGCTCCTCGTGCACCTCCTCATTGGCAGAGTATGGGACACTGGGAAGCCCTTGATTTAGGGTAAGACCTACTCAGCAACAGCCAAACATCACTGTGCCTTCAATGGTGTTCTCATACCGAATCCAAAATGCAGCACTATACCAGCTACTTGGAAGAAAATGAACTCTGTCCCAGCCAAAACCAGGATGATGAGCTGTATGAGTCATTAAAGCCCAAAGTGAGAAAAGAAGTTGGCAAGATATGTGGAAGGGTAATGTAAAATATGTTTTTATTCTTGTCTTCCAGAGAAGATGAGAATATGATGCAACATCATACTGCTGTTTTATTTTCTCCATCAATTTCTTCCGCCTCCTTTGGGGAAATAAGAAAAAAAATGCCGGGTGGAACAAGCATTTGTGTTCCCCATGTGTTGGCTTGCTAGGGGTATTTTTAGGCAAATGTGTGCCACCTATGTAATGTATGTGTGGATAGTCATAAAGATGAAGGATTGTAGTTAGGATGAAGACTTTGCAATGGAATTACATAGTAATTTGAGTTAAACTTGTAATTATGTTGAATTGGTTTTCAAGAGCACACAGAATATGCTAGTGCTGGTGTTTTCCTCCCAGAGAAACCAGCTACTGTGTGGTGATCCTGAAATCTGAGGGGAATCTGGAATGCAGAAATGCTGACATTGATTTTGCCTGTCTGTATTTTTAGGAGAGGAATAAGAGTACCATGTTGTTTGATGTGTCTAGTTTAATGGATTATTATTCATTTTTTAGTTTGATTATAAATAAACCCCAGAAACAGTGTTGACCTGCCTCTTTTTATTCCTTCTTATCAGCTTTTTTTGTACTGCTTTTTTCCCAACTCTGTTTTTCATGTTAAAATATGAAAAAACCCCTTGACAATAATGTCAAGATTGAAATAATTTTTGTTTCTTTGATTCTAAATAACTAAACTCTTGCATTGTAAAATTAGCTGGTTTTCAAAATGTCAAGCAATTGTGTGATTTCTAGCTGTAATTTTGCAGAAAAATAGCATGTGTTAATGGAAAACACTTTGCACCAAGCAAGGTGTCTTAGTATTGTGCTAGAGACATGTCACAAATCTAAAGAAATTATCTTGTATCAGTGTAATTGTGGTCATGAGTAAAGAGAATTGAAAAGCAAACATCTATAGACAACAAACCAACACTCCTGGAAGTAAGGAATGTAAAGAAGGCAGTTTTACTTAAAAGGAGTTCATTTTCTAATTTTCAAACAAATAGTTGAATACGTCAGCATTCATTAAAGTGCTGCTGGCTAATAATGTATTTCTCAACTGAAGTGGAACTATAATGACTGAAGGCTGATTTAAAAAAAAAAAAAGGCACATAACCTTCCAGGCTTAAAATCATGTAATTTAAAATGTCACTGGAAATCTGGCAAGCAAAGGGCTGCTGGGCTACTCCTCTCTAAATGTTGTACAAAACGAAATTGCAGTTATGTAACAACAAACTGCACCAGCTGAGAACATGAGACCTTCAGAACATCTGTGTTGGGCATTGCTCCATCTCAGGATGGAGGGATTCCTGCCTGCCAGACAAAACTGGCAAGAATGTTGGGAATCATCCTGATTATGCTAATCAAGAGACATTTTAATCTTCTTTGGAGGAACAGATTTAGGTTCTTTTGTATATTGTTGAAATGTCATACTGTGTACATAAGTAGCATTTCCTTTATTTGGTGAGAAAGTTTATCATTATCATTAGGAACTTTGTGATTCTCAGCCCAAATTAGTTTATTAAATTATTTGATATGTAACATAGGCACTTGTGTTACATATATACACCTTTTTTTTGGTCATCCGACTGGTAAAATACTCTGGACTAAATAAGTAGGTAGGACTTCCTTTGATAAAACAGAAGTTTTTAAAGCATAAAGGACAAAGCTTTTTGCTGGTTAGCCTTGGAGTAACATAATACTGCTGCTTTTCCACATTCTTCACTGTAAATTTAATTTAAATAACGGAAAATAAATGCTGATTATTGTAGCATGGTGGTAGGGATGCTTATTAATCTCCAGTGAAAACAGAGACACTCCCCATGTTTTCCTATTTTCATTCACAGTTGCAACTTGAAAGAGAACAATGAAGGTCTATGTGTTGCTCTGCAGCAAGATTATATACATGCATTTAAATGAATAGCTGTTTGGTTATGGTCCTTTATGCACTTAATAATTTATATAAAGAATAATATTTACACTGCCATTTGTATGTACTTTTATATTTCCTGATTGTTTCTGCTGCTGCTGCTGGTACCTGGGTAATCTCTTCTTCAGTCAATGTAAAGAAGCTTAATTGTGAAGAAAACTTAATTGGCATTTTCAGCTGAGAAAAACATATGCTTCTCAGAGGGTAATTGTGATTACGAGTTTGTCATTGTGCTGTATGTCCTGGAAATGAAGTAGTTTTATTTTATGCCAAAGAGATACTAATGACATGTGGTAGAATTCTTACTGCGTGGTAGGGTGAGATGTAGCAAAATTTCACCAGAGAATGAAATGAAGATCCATGCCTGTGGATTGTGGTAATTTTCTCTTTTACCACAAATTCTTTTTCTTTTATAAAGTAGGAATTTTTGGAAAATGGAAAGCTAAGCTTCCATTTTCTGGAAAATATAGAGACATGTTTAGATGTGTTTTAAGAATAGCAATCTTTTTCAGGACTAGTTGTGACATTGTGTATTTCAATTTTATTACAATGCTTTGAAGATATAAAATTTTATAGGATTGTCATGTGTAAAAACAGCTGCAATGGTTTAAGATCAGCGTGTTCCATGAATGTTCACCAGCAAGGCCATCAGCTGAGACACAGTAACTGATCTTGTTAATACCTGTAATCTATTTAAAAGCATTTGTGTAGTGTGTTACTTTCTCTCAGCTGAGAAGCCAATAACAAAATGCGAAGGTGTGATAATGAATATTTTCGAGGCAGTAATATCTTATGTGAAGTGAATGTAGGGCAGTGCTGACTGCAGAGTATGTGCACTGAGTGTCTTGTATATTAACAGAAAACATGATAGGTCTGGTTAGGAGCACTTTGAATCTCTATAGAGGTAAGAACTGCATTACTCATCTTTCCTGGCTTTTTTTAGTTCGCCATCATTTCTAGGTTAAACAGAGTAATTAATTAAAAACCCAGTAATAAAGAAAGAAAAGTGTATTGCCTCTGCAGGCAAACTGTATGTGCATGTAAGTCATGGATGGGTGGTGTTTTGGATGTTTTGAGCCATGTTGTTGTCTTTAATTATTTTTTTTAGAGTGTTCATATTTTGGAGCGAAAGGCTTCTTCAGGAAGCACAGACCCTTCTTTAAGCAAGCAGTTCCTTGAAAGTGATCATCTCTCTCTATCCAAGGTAAGCAAACGCCTGGGATGGAGTCTGGGCAGTGAGTTTCCCTCTGGAGTTACAAAGTAGTTTGACTAACACTTCTGGTGTTTTGTGTTCACTGTTTTGTATGATTCTACCATTGAGTATATTGTGAGTCTGCCCTGGAGTTTATTGTTCTATAACTGAGGTGTAAGAAGAGGCAGTAACCTTTAGTAGATGTTACATTAAAAAATTAAAGGATTGGTTTTGGGTTTTTTTTTTTTTTTTGTTTGTTTGGGTTTTTTTGTTTGTTTGATTTTTTTTTTTTTTTCCACATGGATGGCCCCAGGAACAAATTTTACTTTCTCAGAAAATGGGGCTAGAAGGGACTTTGGTGATCCTTGTGGGACCCCTCCAACTCAGGATATTATATGATTTTATGACTTGGAGAAGTTTTCCAGTTCAATCCTCTTATTAAGGTAGAGGAAATCATATCCAAATCTAAAATTACTGCAATAAATATTAGTTTTAAATTATGTCCTAATAACATCCCTTGTGTGTAGTTTGAAATTTAAAAGCTCTTGCTGAGATTTTCTTTCCTGAGGCAGAGTAAAGGACGCAACTGCAGGGGTGACATCACCCTCATAAAAAGTGAAGCCTTGTTTGTGTTGTTTTGAAGTCAACTTTTTGGGTAAATTGCTCAGTTTTGGAATAAGTGATTCCAAACAAGTCTATTTCCACATAAAGAAAGCCTCATTTTACGATACTTCAGATGCAAAAGCAAGATTGTTTCTGAAAAGGTGAGGGTGCTGTGATGGAATATTTGGTGAAAAATAAAAATCTGAAACTAAATATCTGTTAGTTTTGAAACAGACCTGGTAAAACAATTTCAAAAGGAAGTATTCTGTTCATCCAGGGAAAATGAAGTGGTTTATTTGTTTTTATTTGGAAAATGAATATTTTGCCGTCAAAACTTGAGAAAGCAGTTGGTAGTGGCTCCCTTAATCCCCAAACAAGGGGCATGTCCAGAGCCAGGCACTGAAAGCTGTGATTGTGTTCTCCCAGTCGTGCTGCTTTGCACGGGGCTGTTTCTCATGGAATACTTATGGAATCACCAAAGTCCTAAAATACTGCTGCTGTGCTTGGGGACTGGCCTTGGACGAGGACTCTTCAAGGCTATCACTTTCACTCTGTTTTTTCCCCATTTTCATCTCTCCTTCATAATGGCCTTGGTATTGGGCATATCTCAACACACCAAAACTGTGGGATGAGGCACAGTTAGGATTGTTAGGAGGGTTTTAAGAACAGCCTGTAGCACTGATGCAGCAGGAGACAAGTATCCTCACTGCACTGAATAATTGCTCATTTTATCCCTCTGTATCTGGTCTTTTGTTTAAATGAATAGCTATATGAGATTGTGTGGTTTCTAGTTGAGAATTAATCAATAGTGATGTTATCTAGTAGATAAAAGACTTATGCCTGCAGCTGATCATCTAAAGGAGAAATCAATATCGTGAAGAATCAGTTGGCAGAGATGCAGAGACTCTCTGCTAGTGTATAACTTAGAGTTTAATTTGTCCCCCTCGAGTGCCAAATACTTCCATGTAGGGAAAAAATAATACATGTGTGCTTTCCTCTATAGAATGGAAATAGTACATTGAAGCAAAACATGAGGAAGTAAAACAAAGCTGCATTTTGAATAGGGAATTTACAGACAATGAGATAATTTGTTCATGGTTATTCAGGGGAAACTAAGCTGAACAAAGATTTCTATTAAAATTTACAGCAGTATTTATTATTTGGGATAGAGCTTTTCACCCTTCTCAAAATACCAAGACCTTATTCAAAATTGTAGTTTTGAAATTTGCTGTTACTTTTGCAACGATATTTTCATAATAATGAAAACAGTAATGTTGATGTTATCAGGGCTGTGTAATTTATTTGGAGGTGTTGTGAAAGACTGACAGCACTTGGCTCTGAACAGTTTGTTGGAAATGTGGAGACAATTTTTTTCCCTTTAAATGTTTGATGCTATATGACCTCCTTCCTCTCTTGTTAACTTTTCATAACATTGCTAGGAGTTATGACAGATCAACTGAAAAAATGCAAGTTTACAGCTTTCTAAGGTATAATTAGTGAAACACAGTCTGAGGAAACTGGCAGTAAGAGATTTTTAAATTGGTGTAGAATTTTTTTAAGCACAGTAGTAGCGAGAGGGTAGAAATACACTCTAAAAGAAAATATGACTCTATCTTTTTCTCTTTCAAAATATTGTTCTTTTCCTGTTCACTGTGTTACATTGTAAATCTGGCTTGAGCTGCACCAGTCACCATGCAAAACAAGTGGTATGTACCAGAAATATGCTTTAATTGGCTCCATGAAAGGCATACAACTGGTTGTATCTCAAATGATACTGTTGCTCTGTTTTTCTCTAGAGAGAAAATTAGTTAGCTTTCCTATAAATCTCTCATAATACGGTGAAAGAGAATGCAGGAAAAAAAATCTTTTTGCAGATTTCTGAAGGCTCAATTAGCAAGTGAAACTCTGTCATAAAATGCCTTTGAAGATTATCACTAGCTGCACTCAAAATCAACAATAAAGCAACAACATCTGCTAGTTTTTCTGATTTGGAGGAAAAACTGGGGCATCCAGAACCAATGCAGCTTGTACTTTAAAGATCAGAAAATTTAAATTTCTTAATTGTAAAGAAATATCACAAAGGGCAGTCTTACTATGCATCTTACCTGGTAGGGTTAGACATCTGAAAATGGTTTGTATTTACTAGTTTTAAATGAGATACAGATAGGCATAATATAGTGACCATGCAGTTTGGTACCTAAACAGTTTGATTTAAAAGACTGCCTCCTTCTTTTTGTCTTGCATTGAAGAATTTTTGCCACTCTTAAGCTCAATTTTTTTGCCACTTGTGTGCAAAATTAATTAATCAATGTGTCTTCATGCTTTTTCATCAGGAACCTGACAGCTGGGAAATCATAGAGGGTCTGAAAATAGGGCAGACCAATGTCCAGAAGCCAGACAAACATGAAGGTTTCATGCTGAAGAAGAGAAAATGGCCATTAAAAGGTTGGCACAAGGTAAATGTCTCATAAACCAGTCAGAACATTATTACCTTATTTTATGAGCTGGGACTTTTTTTGTCTAGACAAAATTAGGATGTCAAATAAATACCCACAGTTTTGGTGTATGACTTTCACTTCCACCTGTGTATGGAATTAATTTGCAGACACATTTCATGGATCTCAAATCACAGTCCCTGCTGCCCAAGGTTGTATTCAAAATCGAGAGGGAATTTGTGAGTAAAATTGATCTGACCCTCCAAAAAATCAATTAATGTGGTATATAAGAATTTATGGAATAAACCACTGCTCCCACACTTTTAGAATACATTATATTAATGTGTTGCTATTTGGCAAAGTGTTTTGGTAAGGAACTAATTTATAGGAGAGTAAGAGAAGTCCAACTTCACAGTTCTTTAAAGGTAATCACTAGTGGTGATCTAGATGAATTTAGAGCAGTTACCTGTGTAGATAATTTTTAATGTCATTAAGAAATTAACATTTTAGCATCCCTCTCTACTCTGCCTTACATTTCACCTTGGGAACTGTGCTGAACTTAGGTTCTGAAACTTTGGGAGTGTTAATAAGTTTTTTCTTTTGCAATGCTGGCCTGGGTATCTTGGAGTTTCCATAACAATACTTTGTGCTGAGAGTCAGTGAGGAACTTCAGAGACAATAATTGCAGCATGTGCTGTGTTAGTGTTCTGCTAGCCAAGCCATATACAGCATCTATTGAACATTGCATGCCATATTCTGACAGTCCTGAATGTGCTTTGGTAGCATACCAGGTATAATGTGCACAGCTTGGTGAACTTAACATCCTCTGAAGTGCAGTGTGTGTTGGAATGAAATGATGATGAAAGGTAATTTTCTTTTGCGTATGCAGCTTAGAGAGACAGAGCAATATGACATGAACATCATGTTCTTGTGAAGGTTGTTAGTGACCATACCTACGAAAAAAAACCCCAAGATGTTCCTGTTGTTTTGACATCTTATTCAAGAAGTTATATCTCCAAATTTACTGGTTTCAGCTGGGGTAGAGAAAAGCACTGTTTTCCTGCCCTGTGTGAGATATTGGTACTATCTGTTGTGTGACTGGCAGAATTTCTAGAACCATCTTTGAGGGGGATTTTCTGCTGTCTAACTACTGACCCTGCTCGTAGTGTTAATTTAGCAGGTTTACCTAAGGAAACCATTGCCCTTCCTTCCCATGCCATGACAGCTTTGAGAATCAAGCTGTGTTCTGGGATTTTACCATAGATTAATGCTTCAGGTTACACTCTAAAAATATGAGTTATTTGCTATTACTTTGCATGTTTTTAAAGTTAGTGATGATCAACACGAGTTAGCAAATGTCATTTCAAGTCCAGTTTCCTGCTAGGCTCTGTGCTGTGTGCCAAAGTCTGCATTAACTTGACTGCAAAGCAGCTTGAGTGATCTGGTACAGACAAGCTAGGGCAGCTTTATTTGAGGGAGAAGTACAGCTTGAATAGGGGATTCTGCTCAGAACAATAAAGGTGCAATAGCACAGGCATCATCAGGTTAGGCTGGTCCCGGTAACCATGTCAGTGAAGGTGCAGTGGCTCACCCTGTATCACCAAGGCCTGAGACATCAGCCCTCCCATGACCTGGCCATGTTGCTGGGAACACTGCAATATTTGCTCTGGTACTAATACCTGGATTAACACTAGCCAAGGTGTCTTCAGCACAAGTTACCATCTCATCTGTACTTCAGTGAGTACAGGTCTGCCACCAAGTTTTGCATGGTAGACCAGGGTCTCTCATATGGGTTTCCTTTTGAGATGTAGATCTTGCACTAAGAAAAACTTCTCTCAGTTTCTGGATAGGGAATGTAGGTTGCTAATTTGAAATGTGACCAGCTTTTGTGGGAAGAAAACAGGAAGAAAATGAAGAAACAGGTATAATTCGCTTGTCCTACAGTCTCTTTCTTAGAAAGTTTATTACATTGCCTGGAAAACTGAAAAAAATTACCCTTCATTATCAAAGTTCCTTAAGATAAACCTAGAACATAATGTTGAAAAAAGAGAATCTAGTTTGTTTTTTTTTTTTTTTGGTTTTTTTTTTTTTTGTTTAGAAGATAATTGTTGTCAAAAAAACAAGCAAGAAAATTATTTAATATTGTATTTATCCTCTCCTTCCAAACCCCAAACATTCCTTAATTGTTACAGGGTGATCCTTCTCCAGATGAATTGTTGTATACAGTTTAAATTGCATCTGCTCATTAAGAAAGAATGTTGTTGGATTTTTTTCTTATTATTTCAGAGGTTTTTTGTCCTGGATAATGGAATGTTGAAATATTCAAAGTCACCAATTGATGTAAGTAGAGCTGAAGACTTTAAAATTTCTAATGAAGTTTTGCCTGCTCATGCTCACTCTAGGCATATTTATGAAAGTACACACATGAAAGTTGTTGATGGATTTAAAGATAAATAATGTAAGATTTTGCTTATGTCTTCCAAAAATTCTACCTTTTTTACTTCTATGGAAATATAAGTTAAATTACTAAAGGTCGTTTCTTGAATAAAGCTGCTTGCGAGACTAACCTGACCATGTATTTTTCGTTTCTAATTTTTGTATCAGCCAGAGCTGATTATTCTGAGACATGTGGATAGGACAAAGAATTAATACCAATTATTTATATTTGATACCAATAACTACCAAGTCATAGCAGTAAGGTATCAAGTACTGTCTAATTTAGTACTGTGTAATTTTCTCTGCTTCTCACTTACCTGTACCTGTGCACTGGTGTGAACAACTTAACACACCCAAACTTTGGAGTTGGCTTTGTACCAGCATTTCTTGTGAGATACTTTTCTATGACTACAAAAATAATAAGTGGTTAAATGGTTAGTCTGAGTGCAGCTTTATTTTTTAATATGGCTTTATGCTAAAATATTATACAATGGGAAACCATTTCAGTACTAGATATTTTTCTGTTAAGTATATAGAAGTGCACCATACTTCTAAATTTTTGCTCTGATGTTTTTATTTTAGATACAGAAAGGAAAGGTCCATGGGAGCATTGATGTTGGTTTATCAGTCATGTCTATAAAAAAAAAGGCTCGTAGAATAGATCTTGACACAGAAGAACATATCTATCACCTGAAGGTAAAAAGTAAAACTACACAGTGTTTCTTCATCCTCAGTAGAAACAAATAAAATTGTAAAAGATTTTGCAGAAAAGTAGTATCTTGGATGCTTTCTTGATAGTAAGTTTTTCTGCAGGTGAAATCACAGGATTCATTTGATGCGTGGGTTTCAAAGTTGCGGCACCACCGGTTGTACCGTCAGAATGAGATCGTGAGATCTCCCAGGGATGCCAGCTTCCACATATTCCCCTCAGCATCTACTACAGAGTCTTCACCAGCTGCCAATGTGTCAGATGGAAAGGTGTGCAGAGTTCTTTGGTTGAAAACTCATGGATTGCTTGTGGGCAGTTTCAGTGGGCTTTTCTTCTCATGCCAACAGGACAGGAGCTTCCACTGTGGGAATGGATGGCCAGAGAAAAGCTGTGAGGGTGTGCAGCTGAAATCAGCTGAAATACTGTCTAATTTACCCTTGCTTCATTAGAATGGGCTGCTGTAGAGATCTTGCAAAGTATTCACCACCCTTACAATTTGCACTAGCCTTTGTCAACAGGTATAAATCTGTCTCCCTGCTGATTATGTTCTTCCTCATAAACAACAGCTTTCCTAACTGGTACCTAGCAGAGTCCACTTGTGAGGTTCCTGGTTTGGTTCTCCAACATGCTATTCTGAAAAACTTGTGTGTTTGGGAGCTATGGAGACAAATCACAGATTTCACTGAAAATGCAATGCAAAGTTTGGTTTCTATTCTGAAGTAATATAGTAATTGCACTGACAAGGCAACACAGCCACAGTAAATGTAAGCATTTTGTTATGCTTTAGGTACAACAAAATAACTTCCCCTGGCAGCCTCCTATACCTTGCAGTAACAGCCTTCCTGTCACCTGCACTACTGGTCAGAGTAAAGTAGCAGCCTGGTTGCAGGACTCTGAAGAGATGGACAGATGTGCAGAAGGTTAGACTTTATCTTTTCAAGCCTTGTTCTTTCAGCAAAACATCTTGTTGATATAAGAAAGAGTCCTGTGAGTAAAGTGGTTAAGTTACAGCTTTTCAGGTAATCGGAAATTTTCACCTCGTGGTGGGAACTTTGCTCTCTATATATTTTGGGATGTTGCTTTTAAAATGTACCATAACAATCTGTGCTATTTTGGTGGATGTCATTGTTCAAATATGATCACTTCTTGAGGTCCAGAGTTGTTGCTGACTCCTATAGAAATAACAAGTGTCCAACAAAATAAAACCTTTACTTGGATGCCTTACTACAAGGGGTTTGGGCACTTAACTTTTATAATGCAATTGAGTACAAATAATGGACACCATGGCAATAAAAAGTCTAAATTGAAGCACCTAAAATACTTTTATTTTATATCTCTTAGATCTTGCTCATTGTCAGTCTAACCTTGTGGAACTCAGTAAACTTCTTCAAAATTTAGAAATACTACAGAGGACTCAGTCAGCACCAAATTTCACAGACATGCAGGTAAATAAGATTGAACATAAATCATTACACTGAAATATTTGTTCCTTCTGTTAAGGGAAATATAGAGGTGTTGTCTGTTAACTCCGAATGTTTTTCTGAAGTAATAGTGAATCTTGGATTAAATGCTTATCTTATATGTCTGTTTTAATCTTGTGTAATAGTGTTTCTGTTTCTTGTGTAAACAAGTAATTAAGATGTATTCAGTATTTGAGTTAAATAGGACACATCAAATTATTAAGTAATTTGCCAAACTAAACTGAGGACTGTTGCAATAGAACACATGTATAAATTGAAGTTATATTTAAGGAGTTTTTGTTGTGTTAAGATAACATTTTAAGTTTTTTAAGGATTGGAGACCCAAAGACCCTCAAAGATGAAGTTGCATGCTCTAGAAAAGGGGGCATAATACAAAGGTCCCAAGTTTTGGACTGTTTCCCAGTTCAGGGTGAGTTTTCCTTTTTCCAGACAGCAACAACAGATCCTAAATCTTAAATACTTTCTTCCATTTTCACTGAATCTTCTTGTCTGTACAAATGTCTGAGTAGTACCACAACAGAAATCCATGAGGATTTCAAGATCGTAATCCTAAATATTATGTTCCCATGAAGAGAAAGGGCACCAATAGTTTTGCTAAAGGAGCTAACTGTACCACGTGTTTGTGGAAGTGTATGGATAGCTACAGCTGATCACTGCTCCAATTTCGGGCCCCAGCAGCAGCCTTCTTCTCCTTACTTTCTAATTTGTTCCTGTCTAATACTACAGTTCTGAACTAACTTGCTGTATTGTCTGTGTTGCTTGTGTCAACTTAATAGCACTTTGTTGCTTTTAACTATTTGTGTAATGTAGGCTAACTGTGTAGATATTTCAAAGAAAGACAAGCGGGTCACGAGACGATGGAGAACAAAAAGTGTCAGCAAAGATGCAAAAATTCAACTTCAGGTACTGAATGCACTATATTTTACTTTTCACTGTACTTTAAGATTTAATTCTAAGCATGAAATGATATATTAGCTGAAAGTAGGAAGACAGTGTGCTCTCTTTCATGTTTCTGATGAAGTAAATTAAATCTCAGTTTGTTGTTCAAAACCTAGAGAAGATAGTGAGAAAAGTACTGATTTTATTTTCGTTCATATGAGAACATTGCCATCTAGGGAAAGGAGGGGGATCTGAATATTAGTCAATTAAGGTATTCAAAACTCAATACACACCATATGGGGATACTGCTATTTCATATCAAAGTTGCAAAGAAGGGCAACTGCCTTCAATTGAACAAGTGACATCAAGTTAAAAGCAGAATGAAATACTAAACACACAAGTAGTCTTTGTCAAGGCCTATACTTGGAATATTACTAGTGATAAGTATTTTCACAAGCCTTCTGTTATGGAAAAGGCTAATATGGGAACAAATAAAATATCCAAGAAATAAATTATGTGAAGGAAGAATTTACTCCATCCTTCCCTAGAACTGAAAGCACAAAAATAAGCATAATGTGCATGCATTGCTGCCTTGTGTTTTGTTGGAAGCACTTGTGTATTCTGAGGTTTGATCCAAAAGCTGATCTTTTTTATAATTAAGCAACTGATAATGAAGACTATTCAACTGGCTTTGAGAGCCCACAATCACCTGCTGATGTTGATGTCTGCTAAATAAATAATAAATGAGTAAATAAATGTCAGCAACTTCTAATCCATTCAAATATCTTGAAATTAGTACAAACTTCGAAAGCTTTTTTTTTTTTTTTTAATATGTCCCCAATAGGCACATTAAGGAGTTTTCATTTAAGATCAATAATCTTAAGGAAGGAAGAGGTGATAGTTGCATCAGCTTTCTCATTGCAGCTCTTGTAGTTTATTTTTCTTTTTACCTATTATACTTTGATAATCACAATAGGTAGAACAATGAAGCATCTGTTGGGATTAAAAAGGTTTATTAACAAAGGAATTTTGTCATTGCTGTCATGTTGTGCAGTTGAAGGATCGCAGTTTTTCCCTGGTGCTGAATAACACGGGGAAATTAAAATATCTGTAAAATGCATGCAAGTACTTCGTGCCTGTGAAGAATCAGTCACTATTGCATGTTCTTCTTTCATGCCACAGTAACCTCAGATAAGTCCTATCCACAAAAGTGATGAAAGCAGTTAATGTATTATGATTTATGGTTGGTCATAGTGAATAATGAGCTGTTCCTGTGTTACCTACACTTTGCTGAAGTAGCACTGGCCTGGGCTTACACCAAACTGCTGTTTGTAGTTTGGCTGGGGTGTGCCTCAGCTCCTGAAAGTTTCAAATAGGGTTGCAGATTCCTCTGAGAGAGTTTGTGTCCATGGCACTGCTCTACATGGGTCTGTTACTTCTGGATTGATAATGGATTCTGTCTAACTTGGGTCAGCATTAATTCCCACCAAGCTTCATGCTGCAAATACAAAGCTTATTTTGTTATAGCAAAGTATTAAATTATTGTTGTCTGATGTGTAAATTAATTTGCAGTGAAACAGAAACAATAAAATTGTTCTAAACTGTATGGAAGACAAAGAATACTTGATGGCTACTCCATTATCTTGCATAGTTTGCTAGACTCAGTTTATTCTTCCAAGGGCTGTGCTGTCTCCTGAGTGCTGGAGCTGTGGTCTGTAGGAAGGTGGCCTCACTGACTCATTGTGTTATTCCTAATTTGCTTAGGTTGTCACTAAAATGTGAATTTCCTCTGATGCCTACAAGCCCTTTAAGCTAATTCCCATTTTGTTCTTCTTAGACGTTCCTTCTGCATCATTGATCTTCCTTATTGCTCATTTTTTCAAGACTGCTTCAAGTCTTTCTGAACCGTTTATCAATATAACCCATACTGAGAATCATTTTGTCTGATTAGTGAACATTGTTTTCATAGTGCTTACACATAATTTGCTATTAAATGGTTGACATTTGGTACCAGCAAGATTTCTGTTGTACTATCACTTTCCTCATACCTCCATACATCTTGCTAGTTTTAGGGAATAATGCTAATTTTAACAAACTAACTTTAAGCTGGAGTCACTGTTAGTTTCATTTGGAGTACTTGCAGCCATTTTTTTCAGAATGAGCAGTTTTTAACTACATCAAAGACGTTCTGATAGTACAATGTTGAGGGCATCCTTCTGGGGAGCATAAAATTAGGGAGCTTTATATAAAGGTGTGTGCTTTGTGAATGGTGGGGAACAAGGGTGTGATTTCTGCTGGCTCAGTATCCTCTGCACATGAGGCAAGGAGGGAATTCTCCCATTCGGGTTTTGTATTGTACTTGTAAACATTCTTTTGTTAATGAGATATCTTTTGTTGGATTCCTGCTAACGCATTATTGCAGTATGAATGCTAGGTGCATAATGTATGTAAAACATACTTTTTCTTGTAAGTAAAGCTGCTTGATTTGTTTCCTAGACATTAATATTTACCACTTAAATATGACAGTTTTGTGTGCAGTTGACTTTGCCCACACAGCTGATTCCTGTAACTTGGGTGGGGTTACTCCCTGAAGTAAAACTGAGCACAGCACATGTCTGTGCAGGTTTGAGTGTTTACTGTTGTTAAGTTGCTTAGAATTAACAGCTGAATTAACCAGCCTTTACTCAAGAGTAATACATAAATTGCTTCTCTTAAGAAAGATTATTTTTATGAAGGAGGTTAATTTTTTTTTAAACAAGCTATATAAAATTTGTGAAAATGGCAAAAACAGGTTAGTTGACCTGTAGTAATTCATTTTACAAATTATACTTTTGTACAAGAACTGAGTTGTGGGTTTTGTCTAGGGGGTTTTTTGTGCTTTTTTGTGGGGTTTTTAAAATTATATTTTATTTCCCTTTGGGTGAAAGGCTAAGTTATCATTCTCACGACAGCTTCAAAGGAAGAAAAAAGAAAATGTTACTGCAAAACAGTAAAGAACCAGTGATATTTTGGTTTCCCGCAAAAGCTCAAGACTTCACAGGGGGAATAGTTTAATAGAGAGCTGTGTATTATGGAGTAATCTGAAAAATCATCTTGCTTTACTGAGGCTTTCAGCTCAGAACTGAAACCAGACCCAGACTAGTTATTACTTTTTCCCTTAAGTAAGTATTTCTTTTTATGGTAACTCAGATTTATGACCTCACTTTCTATTGTGTTGAGGAGAGTGTGTGATTCTGCAAAGCTCACTATTCCCATTTTAATAATGCATACCTGCATTCATAATCTTGTATACATATAAATTTGTGCATATCTCTCTCTGTACATAGGTTTGTCCCTACTATTTAAATAAGAATATTCTTCCATACTGCTATTCACAGGATGGGCATATTTTTGTGGAGCACAATTTACATTATGCATATGACCTGTTCTCTGCTTTAACAGAGTTTGTTCTCAGTGTTTCAGAGGTTATGTACACGTCTTTTTAATGTGAGAATTTTATAAAATATTGCACCACAATTCTTCTACTGTGATCATTAGACAACCCTTCCAACTGTCAGTGGCATTGCCACTAATATCAGCTAGAGGGTGAAGTGTTTGGCCATTCTCCACTGTAGCAACCCTACTGGGAATTTTATAGAAGCAAGACAGTAGAGCTAATAATTGAAATACAATATCCTGTTCTTCAGCATGGTGTTCATGTATCCAATCTACACTTTGTTATTTGTATGATGATCAGGCTTCTTGCAAAAAAAAGTAAAAATGTATATAGATGTAAAAATGCTGTAGTGGCTATAGGATGCAGCGGAAGAGAAATGTAAAGGAATTGAGAATCGTTTTCTAGAGGCAGAAAGGTGTATTTCCTAGTCTTCCAAAATCTTAAAATGGCTTCAAAATAATGCTATTTTCATTGAAGATTAAATAGAATGACTTTATGACAGATATGGAGCTCCTCTGCATTAGACAGTTACTTGCTTGACTTTAATGTACTGTGAAAAATTTTCTTGCTTGTAAAATCAATGTAAAATTAAGCAGGATGAGGCCACAAGTTAGACATGTAGAAAAGGAAGCGGTTGTTGAAATACTTAGTTTTTATTTGTGCTCCTTTATCTTAGTTTCTGCCTTGGTTTGGAAGTCAAGCCTCCAGTAATGTATGGGAAAAACAGGTGGAACTCAAAAAAGTGACGTATGGCGAAAATGATTGAATAGGCTGAAGGATGGATGTGGAAATGCCAGAGCTATGTACAGGAATGTTTACTTCAGAAAACTCACTAGATAACATACAAATTGAAAAATTTTACCATTGAGCCACATGCATCTTCAGTGACCACAGTTTATGCACTTCCAGTATTGCAAAGTGATCTCTTTCAGAATTCATCTTCTAAATGGTCAAGTGGCTCCAGATTTTTATTTTATTTTCTGGCATGCTATAGCATCCTTTTTGTTCTCTTATTCCATTATTGCCTTATAACTGAATGGCAATGCTAGTTGATTTTTTTTATTTTTGTAGCCTTAGTGAGTGCACTGCAGTCCAACTCATCTGGAGATAATTTTAGTGAAGTATCCAGCTTTTTATGTCTCTGGCATGCACAGCTGAAAACACATGATATGACCTCAACATGTGTAGGCCATAAGAGTTAACAAAATGGAAACCCACTTAAAGACTCTCCCTCTCCCTTTTCTGATCACCTTTCATCTTCCTGTGTCACATCACCCCTTCCCTTCTCTTTTTCTACTTCCTTCTTTTCTTGCATTCACTGTCAGGAAGGGCCGGCACCGAAGGGCCAGTTCAGCACAACACGACGCCGGCAGAGACTGGCAGCTGCAGTGGCTACAACAGTGAGTGGATTTAAAAATCAAGGGATAGCTCTAAGGATGGGAAGCTGTGTAACTTGGTTGTGTAATAACCTTATGAAAATGTTTCTTGCACTTTTTGGAGGTGTCCATGCTACCCACTTTCAACTGAGTTTCTTAGAAGTGGTCAGGCCCAACACAAATGTGTTCCATAAATGTGGGTCTGAGCTCATTTACATGGTGCATATCCCTCCTCCTCCTTTATGTAAGTGCAAGTGACAGACTCAGGCCCTGCACGCAATAAGTCTTTGACAGACTATACAAAATAGAAAAAAAAAAGATCAAATTATGTTAAAAGATGTGACAGTTATAGCAAGACAATAGAACTAAGGAGATTTGTTACAAATAACCACGGAATTATAAAATCTCCTGATACTTTTATAAGTAGTATAAGGTTAGCCTTTTCATTTGAGGCACTTTGTTTACGTTCCATAATCCCAAAAAGTCATATTACTACCTCAGTGTCCGTATGCAGTTTTGCTAATTCTCTAAGTCTTTAGTCAGAAAATAGGGAGCTATGAAATCAGCACCAGGGCTGGGAATTAGTTGTGGCAAGTCCTGTTTGTGAAATTGAATTGCCATCAAGAGGACATCTTCAGCTGCTGCTTTATCAAGAAAGTACTCATTAGGCCCAATATAGACATTGTACTAGTCCATCAGCAGATAAGTACAACAGCTAGATAGGGAGGACTGTTCAGCCAAAGACTGAAGTGAGCTTTAGATGCAAATTCCTTATCTAGCCCAAGCAGTGAATGTCTTCAGCAGGTTGAAGTATTCCGGCTGTTCTAGGCAGAAGCTAAATTCCCCTAGATCTGACATATTTTCTGCTTAAGCCTAACTATCTTGAGCTTCTGCTAGCTGAACCACAAACTCAGTTATTGCTATGCTCTTTTAAAACATATGAGACATATCAGTGTTTCTCCAGCTTCGAAATTAACTCATCTAAATTTATTCCTCTCTAATCAGTTGATGCTGAATGTGTGCTCTGTAATTGATTGCTGTTTTGACTGTGTTGGTCTGCCTGCCTAGCACAGAAATCTGCCTGATTCCCAGTTTGCAGGGCTGAGCAGTGGTGTTGGGAGGCTCTAAGCAGCAGCTAAACAGCTTTGGCAAGGGCTGTACTCCTCACCTAGGGAGTGCTTCAGTAGGCAAATGCAGCTGGACTTGGGTTGGAAGGCACTAAGAGAACAGGGAGTGGCTGAGTTTTTACCTGCAGCTCAAGTGAGGACCCGTTGAGGGATGTTTTGGAGGAGCTGGAAAAAATGCAAGAGGAAGGAAAGCTAGAGGCACCAGAATGACTCTGTGGCTGCTGCAGTACTCCTGTTCTTCCTGGCTGATGTACAAAATGGTTGTTTCTCCCAGACAGTGAAGCTGAGTGCATAGGCTGAGGGTTACAGAATTATGTCAGCTAAATGCACAGCAGAAAGAGGTTTTCCTTACAACCCACTTGGCCAGGAGCAGTCTGTTCCTATGTGAGCATGTAATTCTGAAGAAGGTGATGGATGAGTGGGTGCAACGCCTCTGGTGTAAAGCAGGAAGTTGGGACAAGGTTCATCTGAGGTTATGTCTAGAAGTGTCTGTATGGAGAAAACTAGAGTGATGGATCAAGAAGCTAAATATTTTTTCAAAAACCTTCAAAACAACAACAATTAAAAACAACCAGAAAGAGAATGGGTGGTAAAGTCAGGATCAAGTCACCATTAATACAGAGAGAAACCACAGTCATGAAAGGAAAAAAGGGGAAGAGAAGTATATTGGCAGTGTTTCCTGGACTGTTGCCTATTCAAGAGAATGAAAATGGCTGTTTAATGTGGTGGTTTTTAATCTGTTATGGAAAGTAGCTTGGAAGCTTTTCTAAAAAATGCTTATGAGGAGAGTTCATGTCAATCAACAGTTCAGTATTTTTGGTTCTTGAATTTAAAGCAGTCAGCAAGGCTACTTGTCTCTGTCATATGAATGTGTATTTCTTGCAAGTAGTGTGACTTATTTGTAGAACATGGAAATTTTGTTTATAGGGCTTAATTGAAAATAGTATTTTTTCAATAAACATCATTGCAGAAATCTTTCTTTTCAGCCTGGCCAGCTGAGGTTTGAGGCAGAAATGGTGGCTCTAAAGCAGATCTCTTCAGCTTGATTCATCAGAGAGTGACTAAAGAGCCCCCTGCATGTGTGGGCAGCCTGCCTGCAGCTCTGCCAGTCCCTGTGGGTCTGGGGAGCCTCCCCCATCACCACAGGCATGTGGAGCTGGGGGCACTCTCCCTCTCTCCCTCAAGCTCTGGCATTGTTGCTGGTGTCAGCTTCTTTCCTGCCTTTGGTATGTTCTCCATACACACAGGTACAGCACAGATACCCACTCTGCCCTCCTGGAGCCACCCAGAGCAGTGGAAGCTTTGTGTTGTCAGAAAGTTCTGGAAACATGCTCTCCCATTTAAGGAGGGGAAAATTTTTGGATAACAAATTTGAAATAAACCTACGTTTAGCCACAGTAGTCCATTAACCTCATGTTAGGCTGGGCTCTTGAGACAGGCAATCTGGTAATTGTGAAGAAAATAAAGGGTTAAATATCGAGTATGAATAGAAGGACTTTATTTTACATCTTCTGTTAACAAATTCTTCTTGATATGAGGATAAAACGAAGTCCAGTAAAAAAATATGTACTTTGTTGATATAGGTGGACATCAAAACACATGACAGGAGGAATAAACTTATATTAGATAGGTGCCATAGAATTATTATTTAATGTACTATATGTACCTGGACACTGAGAAAGAACAGCATGGAAAATGTATTTCACAGAGTATGCTCATGAGTGGAATGATTAATAAATCCAATAGGATTTTGAGGGTTTCATTGGAGAATCAGAACCTAAACCTAAAATGTGTATTGATGTCAGCTTTTACAGAAAGGAATTGATAAAACTGTTCCCTGATCTAATCAAATAACAAAGTACCAAGTTCAGCCACTGATGACAGTGGTTCTAGAACTCATCTGTTGACAATAATTCTTAGTAATATGACTTTTTATGTTAACTTCTGCTCTTTATCATGCCTTGGAAGAGACATTTTATATTTTGGCCCCATTTTTCATATTTAAATAATTACATTGGGCTGCAGTGTGAAAATGCTTGCTTTATGCATTTGATCAATCTAATGAAATTAATTAGATTTAATGTACTAAACAGTGTTTGATACATTAAACAGTGGTTAATATTTAAGTGACAAAATGAAGTTCTGCATGTCTTTCTGTTGCATTTACAGTTGAAAATTGTGTTCTTGGCCTGATTTTCATATAAATGCATGTAAATGGTAATATTAAAGTAAAATACAAAGTACTCTTGCACACACATCACTTATATAGCAGTGGTAGCCATACAGTGCATATGTAGCGTACAGGTAGCTGCTCAGTACATGATACATGTATATATAACTTAGAATGTTTTGCATTACTTTTTTTTTTTATTATTATTATTACTGTACCTGAAAAGTAGAGGAGAAAGTGAAGTGGAAAGATAATGAACTAAATTCTTTGCTCTGTCTTACTAAACTGTATCTCTCTGCATTTATTTATGGTCCATGTATTTTAAATGCAAATCAGGCAGTTTTGATTTTATTTTGATGTTATTGTTTGTTTGTTTAGTTAAAAAGAAAATAGAAATACTGTATGCTTCTTCCCTCTTCATAATTGCCAGTACAGTGAGTTTCAACTAAAGATTTACTAGTTTTGAAAAACTTCAATGATATATCTGATAATATTATATCCTGTTTCTAGATCTGTGGGGAAACTTTCATACTTCAAATGTTGGTATTGCAACAACAGACTAATCTACAATTACTCTCAAATGTCCAAATATAAAGGAACATGTCTCATGGTTCAATTTTCCAGTAATCTTCTAATAAGGAAATAATCCACGTTCTATAAATGTTAGAATTAAAATACTCCATCATTAGGTGTTAGCTGTGTATTTAGGCCTTCTTTTTTCTATTTCAGTGAAAAAATTCAAGAGAAGTCTGCATCATCTGTGTTGAGATTTAGGAGAGTAAGAAGTTACATGTTCACTCTTGCCATATTATTCACCTTGTGAACTAAGTTTTTTCAGAAGAAATTTTTGTTTTGCTTCAACAGAGTCAAAAGTTTGGTTACACCTTATGGAACATTCCTTCTCTGTTTCCCACTGTAGGTCCCTTTCAGTGCTACGATGTCACCTGTCCGACTGCATTCATCCAACCCCAACCTCTGTGCAGACATTGAGTTTCAGGCTCCCCCAAGCCATGTGGCAGACCCTCTGGAGTGCTCTACTGAGTACATGAAGCTTCAAGAGGAATTCTGCTTGATGGCACAAAAAGGTAGCTGGAGATGCCAAGCCTTCCCTGTAATGTGCTTCTCTGTGTTTCTTTATTGCCCTCACTTAGCCAGGGCTTTCATCTGCATTGGGTGATACTGTAGAAGAGTTTTTAGCTATTCAGGTGCCTTACACAAAGGCTGTATATATTATCCTTCTTATATTTTCCATGCATGTCATAAATGTAGAGATAGGTAAACTCTGAAATTGCTTTCCAAGTCTTCTGATCTGCTTTCTCCATTCTGTAAACGTGACAGAATTTGCAAACATTTTTTTCCTCAACAAAATGTGTTATTTCTCCCCAAAGATGATTCAGAATGTAACTGCTGCACATCATCATGTGAAATAATTTTTGTGCAATGTTTTCTATGTCAATGGAATCAATGGAAAAAGAGCTTATTACAGGAATGTACTTTTGAATTGCAATTTTATTGCCAGTAAGTGAATGGTCCTACAAATTGAAAAATACCATTTTAAAAAGGTTTTCTTATCAATTTGCTGTTATATAACAAGCATAGAAAAAAAAGTGAGACTGACATCTTAAAAAATTCTAAACCTGTTTAAAGACCAAGTAATCCTCTTTATTAGTACCATATTAAGTCTAGAAGAACTGATGTATCTGTTACTCTGAAAAGTACAAATAAAAACCAGAAAGAAAATAACACACATTGGGCACAGTTTTTCCAAATATGCACCTTTCCATATGTTGAGCACCAAGAATATGCTCAGATGAGATATGTGTGAGCATACGGTATGCACATTGCAATCTCAAGCTGTATGTGTTTGTTCTTAATTTGGCATGGATTACTTGAGTTCAGGCCCTTGTTTCAAATGTCCATTACTGTGGGATGGAAGTCTCACTGTCTGTCTTTATTGCTGAAATCTTGTGAGATGTCAATGTGATTTCTGTAGCCAAGGAAACACCTGTTTTATTTTTTTCTTTTTGCTCAGTGCATTCTCTTTTGAAGTCTGCCTTTAACAGCATAGCTATAGAGAAGGAGAAGCTTAAGCAGATTGTTTCAGAGCAGGATCTTACAGGCCACAATGCTCAAATAGCTCACCTCAGACAGTCCCTCTCTCAGGTATGTTATTCATTTGATTTCAAGCACATCTGTCTTGCCCGGTGCATTATTCCTTTTGTATTTTGGCCATTTCCTTTCACCTCAAAGGAGCCAAGAAAAAGCCAAGTTCTCAGCCAGAACTATGGCATATTCTCTTATGGTGTAGATCTAACCTCACTGCATGTGGATGTGAAGGATATAATTTGTGTAAGCATGTATCTGTTATGGTTTTCCAAAGTAAAGAAAAAGGATCCAAAGTTTTTATACAAATGCTAGATGTCTTTCTTGGAGCTGTTCCAGCACAGCCAATGAAATATTCTTGGTTTTGTAATTAAGTTTTAAATTTTCACCATATATTGTTGGATTTATTTTATATGTCTGTGTCTCTAAATGCAAAAGGAATTCTGGGTTGCAATATAGTCATGGGTAAATTGGATTTCCAGATGCAGACCTGTTAACTCTCCAGTGTCTCTCCCACTTCAGCTAAAGGAAAATTGTAATTTGCTTTAATGGGGGAGAAGAAATTAGTAACAATAAATCCTCAGGCTGCAAAATAATTCAATTTTTCCAAATTCATTGTCAAGGAAGCATAAAAGCATTTGCTGGATTGGTGTGGAGGACTGCATCTGCAAGAAGTATGAGCAGATGTTTAAAGACAAACCTTTCTCTAGATGCAGATGTATATCTTGTTGTGCAGATTGACTTCTCTTAGGGGCAAGCGATAAGGGTAACCATTTCTGGTTATTGACACAAATTTATCTAAGACCTGTGCATATTTATTAGCAACTTGCATGAAATAGGGGATCATGTTTTCTTCTTAGTCCGGGCTTCCAAGATTAGTTTGAAAGTCACTGTCACACATTAGTTCACAGCCTCAGTGGCGAGGAAGTGGAAAATGCACTGTGACTGGATTTGTCCAGTCTTGTGACCAGGGTTGAGCTGTTGGAGAAGCTGCTGTCAGGCTGCTGTTAGTCATTACCTTCCCTCTCTGAGGGATGTCAACCAGGAACATGCCCAGACCATTTCAGAACAAAGCAAAATTGGGTAATTTAAACTGTTCAGTGACAGTTTAAGCTTACCTATTTTCCTTTTGTCTTTGTTTTAGTACATTCATGCAATCTATTTCTCAATCTGCACTAGGGGGAGACAGAAGAAGGTTCTTACTCCATTGCAACAATCCTTTTCTACTGAAACAAAATGTCTCTCTGTTCTTTTCTATAATCCTCAGTGCTGGGGATATATTGAGGTTAAGTCAGCCGTGTTCTAGATATGTAGCATATTATACTTCTGAATTTCAGAATCTCATACACTGGTCTTTTCAACCAACAGAAAATACATGTTTATGCACCCAAATTTATAATCTAGCTTGGACTTTAGAATAGGAGAAAAATCAGCAGATACCAGACATCAGTTGAATTCTGTTGGTATTTGTGATACTGTAGTGGATCAGTAGTTTGAAATAAGTACAATTTTACAAACCTGTAAAATTGATCTGGGTGGGTAAACAATGATACTAGCAAATATGTTGGTTTTACTGGAAAGGAAGCAATTTCTGTTTGCAGCCTCTGAGTGCTAAGGACCTTGACTCAGAGGAGGTATAGTTGTAAACCAACAATTGCCTCTTTGGGCATTTTGTGGGTAGTTCCCGTGTATTGTTCTGCAGTTTCACTCTTTGTTGCTGCGTTCACTCCCCATTTCCATAATGTGCATAACCCACCAGTACACCTGCCAAAGAGCTCTCTGAAGAACTAAGGGAGAATGCCAGTGTTATATTGTGGGAGAACATCTGTCCCCCCTCTCTCCTGAAAAACAGTGAAGGCAAAGTAACCAAAGATGAAATCATGTTAGAGAGGATCTCAAAACAGGTATCTCCCTATAAATGAAAGAAAGGAGGTTCTGTGATTTTTTTTAGGAAATTGTTGTAAAGAAGCTTTTTTCCTTCTTATTTTCTGTTTTTAAATTTTTGTTCTTTTTTTTTTTTAATGTTTGTATTTTAATTTTAAATGAAATGTGCAATTTTTATTTTAAGGCTCTCAACCAGAATGCTGAACTAAGGAGTCGCTTGAACAGAATACATTCAGAATCTGTTATTTGTGATCAGGTTGTCAGTGTAAATATTATCCCTAGTCCTGATGAGGTAAGACTTTGGCCTTTAATGGATTTAGAGTACGAACAAACCTTGCTAATTCTCACTAAATAGCTGAAACACATCTGAAAAATTATTGAATTTTTCAGATTGGCAAATGCTCAATCATAGAAAAAGTCAGGTTATATTTCCTTACCTACAATAAAACTTCAGTCTTGTTTTCCGTATGTCAGACATGAAAGAACTCAGCTTGGTCTCTTTAGAGGAACAGAGAAGGACTCCAGTTTTGGATAATTAATTGTTGGCTGTGGGAATTAGTGAGGTTTTACTGTATTTGAATGTATCACACAGTAGCTAACTGCACCTTAGTTTCTTGCCAAATCAACAGAACAATTAATTTTTTAATGACCTGATTTTGCAAGTGTCTAAAGGGTATCACGTTTAGAATCTTGAGTGGTACTGTTAAAATCAAAAGGTTCAGTCCATGAACCAAGCACTGCACTAATATTTTTTGCAACATCTAGTTTTTCTTGTTTTGCTTTCCTTAGTCAACAGATTAACAAACATTTGTGTTAATAACAGTGAGCTTCCCTCGTGACAATCTGAATTTGTGGACTATAATATATTACAATTAGTATGATCACTTTGGCAACCATTCTGCTTGCATTTTACAAAAGTGTTTTTGATTTGTCATTTCCACTATTTTTTTTCTGTGCATATGCCATTTCAATTAACATAGTCTTGTCTCCTAGTTATTTCTTCCAAAAAGCAAGAAAGGTAAAATTGTTTCTGTTTATTTGCTTTCTGAAACTGTCTGAACAATTTTTCCAAGAATCCAGCATGTCGGAGGCTAGCAACAGAACATAGAAGTGAAGTGGTGCCACAGCACAGCAGTCTGCAGTGAAGTTCTGGGCAATGAACTCCTTTCCTGTTCTGTATTTTTTGTTGGTTAGCTGTTCCTTTTTCAGTTGTTCATCATTGTCTCGGTAGAAGTAAGCCTGACTGAAGAAGTTTTTCAAAGAAGTTTCCAGAACTCTCATTGACTTACCTTGCTTGTTTTATATACATCTCTGTAATCTTGCAGCATGTAGATAATGCCTGTGTGAGGGTCTTTTTCAGGTAGGAGCATGTGTATTTTTCCAAGTCCCTCTAGTTTATGTGAAACCTCAAAATTTTGATCACTTCCTGTAATGATTATGGTAAAATGAGCCTCTGTTTTCATTATGAGTCATCAAGCATCACAATCCATCTACAGTCTTATAAGTCCTAATGAAAAAAAAATGGGTTTTGACTTTCTGGCTTGTTTATGTTTTTTTGGGATGTTTTGTTAGTGCTTTTTGAGGTAACTGTATAGAATAATTCTACAGCATTAAGATGTCAACAAAACCATATGCAGGAGTTCTGGAATAAGATTAACGGGGATTGTGTTGCAATCTGAAGAGTTAACTGTGTTTAAAAGGGCTTCAGTAGTTTCATCTGTATTATCTCCCAGCAACAACATGCTGTATGAATTAAGGGATTAAGTCCAAGATCTGTTTCCCTCCACAGCAGCAGATCCTGTGGTAAAATGGTACAGGAAGAGCAGCTTAATTTTTTCTTAATGTGATGGCCTGTATGGTAACATTGAAATCTGGTATCCCACTAGCAAGAAGAGGAGGGTGTATTTCACTGCTTTAGCTTGCTGCACTGCTGACATCAACATAGCACCGTTTTGAATCCTTGACTTTGCTGTTACAGTTCTTTATAATAAAACATAGAGAGTTCATTTCTTTTAGTAGTATTGGGTCAGTGTTAATGTCATAATGCAAATGAGATCTGGAGTGTAAACATAGAATAAAAGCCCATAAAAATACATATTATAGCTATCCTCCTAAATATTCAAATATTTCAAACACTGTTACTAAACTGATTCACAAGGTCATTTATTTGGAAAGTAATTTATAACTCCCAGACCTTATAAATCTTTATAATTAAATTTTAGTTGTATCAAAACTAGCTCCCAGTGATGTAATTTGTTATTACCAGAGGACATTTAATCTGAAATTCATGGTTGAACTTGTCTGACACAATCTAGCTATTGTCCACAAAATCAATTCTCTGCATAGCGAGCTAGATCTGCAATTTCATGCTGCTAAAACTTGGCAGTAGATGCTGGGCAGGCCTCAAATGAAGACATGTATCCCACAGTTCAAAATGCACTTTATTTTGTCATCCTCAGTCTCATCTCTTAGGTACACACACAGTCCTACTAAGATGCTGTCTTTACACTGTGCTTGTATTTGGCATAGAAATCTTACTCAGGTGATTTAACCCTTCTATGTGTATTTCTTTAATATTAGAAATAATACTTTTACTTTTCTGTGCTTTATTTACAGACGGGTGAACAAATTCATGTCAGTTTGCCACTGTCTCAGCAAGTTTCTAATGAAAGCAGGCTCTCTATGTCTGAATCTGTTTCAGAGTTCTTTGATGCACAGGAAGTGCTTCTGTCTGCCAGCTCGTCAGAAAACGAGGTAGGCTGTGTGTGACAGCATGTGGCAGCTACAGTTAGGTAGTGCTACCACTAGTGATTTTTTTTTTTTATTTTTAGTAATGCTACTTAGAATAAAAAGGTATCAGAATGTGTAAAGTGTAGATAAACATACCTGAGATCACATAAAGAGGTGCAGGAGTTCCCTGAGTTGAAAGTTAGTTGTGTCAGTAACTTCTGTTCAGTACATGTCCTTTCCAGGCTATGGCAGTTCCACCAAAGGATGACATAGACAGTTACAGCTGGCTGTGCAGTCAATTAAATTTAGATTTTCAAATATTCTTTAAAAAAATCTTCTACTACATATGTATATAAAATTATTCTCTGTAATGAGAGAAATAGACAAAAAAATAATATTTCTTGAAAAAACAGTTGTGTAAAAATTTTTTTTAAATATTCTTAATGCTGATGAGATTCTTGTTTTGCAAAATGATAGACTGATGTTTACATAATTTGTTTGCTGAAACATAAGTCACGTTTTTTTTTTAAGAAACATTGTTTGGTTCTTTATAAACAGCAGAAATCTGACTATCTCTTCTCACCTCCCATCCCTAGCGCATTGTTATCAATTTTTTTTCATCCCTGATCTTACTTAAGTCACCTTTTGCAGATCTCATGTCTGTATTTGGATAATAAGGAATTCAGAAACGTGAGCACAATGTAGCATTTGTTTTGACATTTTTAGTGCATTTGCACTATGGACAGATTGAAACATTCAGTTCATTTAGCTAATAGTTTTAATTGGATAGAGATTTTTTTTAAATATTTGTGTTTCAGTTAACTATTTTTGTCTGTTTTGTCAGTATATTTTATATGTATTTGAGTTAATGGATGTTTTAATTTATGTTTTAGGCTTCTGATGATGAATCTTATATCAGTGATGTGAGTGACAATATATCTGAGGACAACACCAGTGTTGCAGACAACATTTCTCGGCAAAGTATACTGTGTTTCAAACTTTGAGAAATTACCTTGGTTATGTTCATGTACCAGAATTACTGCATGTCAATGCAAGTCCAAACTCAGCTGAAAACAATGAAGTTGGGCTTGCTTGTTCTGGCAGTGATTTGGTTGAATGGAGAGCTCTGTTTTTCTTAGTCTGGTGCTTTCTTATGACAATGTTTTTCTTCCCTTCCCAGTTCTTAATGGTGAGCTGACAGGAGGCGCATTCAGAAATGGACGGAGGACTTGTCTCCCAGCTCCCAGCCCTGACACCAGTAACATCAATCTGTGGAATATTTTGAGAAATAACATTGGCAAAGATCTTTCCAAAGTATCCATGCCAGTTGAGCTAAATGAACCTCTGAATACCTTGCAACATCTTTGTGAAGAGCTGGAATACAGTGAACTCTTGGACAAGGCTGCTGAAACAGATGATCCTTATGAGCGCATGGTAATGCATTTGGGGGAGCTCTTCTTCTGTCTCTATTAAAAAGGGAGCTGTTGAGTGGGGTCTGTGCAGGGTCATCTCTTTCTCCTCCTGGTCACAGACAACAGACCTCCCTGCTGGGTCACAAAAGTGTTGTGAGCAGTTACATGTGTTAGGTTTGATCTAAGCAAGGCTGAGGGATTTTTCTTGACCTCAAACCAACTCCTGCAGTTGTAACTCATCTATTTGAAATTGATCTCATGCTCTATGATTGTAGATGTAGGCATTGGCAGTTTCTAACCCTGCAGCATCATTTCCTGGCTTTCAGTGATCAAATCCAGCAGCCTTCAAGAGTTAATCAAGTCTGTGGCTGCATTATGATCAATATAGGTGTGAATAAGGTGTCCTCCCAGGTAATTTCTAAGAGAGAAGTTTCAAAACACCAGAACAGAGTTTGCCTGGGCAGCCTGACTTCTACTCCCCTCTAAGTCTGTTTTGGTTTTTTACTGACAGCCAGCAGCCTGTGCTCGGCTCTCAGGGTGCCTTGATCTGTCATGTCTCCTTTTCCTCAGAAGATGCAGGGAAAGGCTGTCAGGGAAAGTTGGCAGCATTGTTGCTGAAGATACCTGCTGTTCCCTGGTATGGGTTTGCAGCACTGTAGATAGCTGGGAGAAGAGAGGTTGCCTTTGGCTGTCACACGGTCACACACTCAAGTCCCTGAACTGCCGTGTTCACAGGGCCTGCAGAAGAGTGAGGAGTCCTAAACACTGAAGAAGTTGAACCTATCTTGAGAAAGGGATTTGAATTATTAATCATCACATTCTGTTTTCTTACAAGACTCAGGAGGTGATCATGGTGGGTGCCTTGCAACTTAGAGTATTCTGTAATTCTGTCCCTCACAAAAGGAGGGAGATTCTGTAAGGAGTGAGCAGAATTGTAATGAGTAAAGCAGACTGATTGCTGCCTTTATTGAAAAGTTTGGAAGGTCAGTATTGAAGCAGTAGGAAGAATTCAGGAAGGAAAAGCCATGGTGCAACTGAAAGCTTCCTTGGAAATGTGGATTCAATCCCATTGTCTGCTACAGATGTCTACTGCAGTACTTGGGAATACAACCAAAGTTTTATACAGCATGCCTAAAAATGCAAACTGCGCACCTGAGCTGAGGCATATGGGACTACTTGGAAAAGAGCTGAATACCCAAAGCTTATGGCAGCAATGCTGTGAATGTGTTACTGCTTGTTCCCTGTTTGCTATCTTCAATAAGCATCCAAAAGTAGTGGAAAACCTTTTTTTTTTTTCCATTGCTCTCTGTATCACAAGGATAGTAAACTCCTTCATTTCCCTGCAGTGTCCTAGAGTTAAATTGAAAAGGAAGTTGAAATTAATCTGAAAACAGTTTTAGAGGAATGGAGGTTTTTACTGTTGAAGAAAAACTTGTGAAAACAATGTTAATTTTGTTGATGCTGCATTTCCGAACAATACAAAGTGAATAGAGAATGGAGCACCCATTACACAGCGGGAAGAAAACAAAGCACGTAAAACCTCACATGGGGGATGTGTCCTCACTAGCAGGAGGAGTGGGGAACCTGGTTAAAGATTTGCCCTACTAGGCAAATATATATTGCCAATAGCTGACTCATTTTTATCCCTGGATTGTTTTTCTGAAGTCTTGTTTGGACTTCGGACTGGCTGATGTGATTTTTTTTTAACTCTGCAAATGTGACCCGTAAACTAAATAAACCGCGGCATGCCACTTCACTTATTAGTCCCAGTCAGGCCTGGCTTAGAGATGATTAAATTGTGGTTGTACATATAGACAAGGGGGTTGGCTGTTAAGGCTGCATATGTGTGGAAGATTTGGAGATAACTGTGGACTAAGAACATCCTAAGTGGGAGCTGTTTATGTTTGGCAGTGAATATAATAGTTCCCATAGGAAAATGGTATGTGATCTTGTAATTACATGTTATTAAATAATATTTATTCAGGAAGAAGGACTAGAGCTGTGTCTGTTTCAGGTCACTAATCATAAGCCTGGTCAAAGGCAGAAAAACTGTGTCATGTGCAGATTGTCATTTTAAGGGGCTGTTGAAAGACTGAATGAAGCCATGAAGAAAAAGAAATTATATCAACAGAAGAAATAAAGTTCATACTGGTTCTGGCTGGGGTGCATGGTTTCACTGTCAGGCATGCTTCATTATTCCAGTTGTCACTCTGAGCAGAATGAGTTGTGTGCTACCACACAGTGATGGCACATACACAAGAGTGTCTGCCTCTTCTCATGTTCTGGTCTGTATTTTTACAGGTTCTCATAGCTGCCTTTGCAGCATCAGGCTATGCCTCTACGTACTTTAGAGCAGGAAGCAAGCCATTTAACCCAGTGCTTGGTGAAACTTATGAATGTATTAGAGAAGACAAAGGATTTCGATTTTTCTCAGAGCAGGTAAACCTTGTGTCTAGATAGACATTCCTATTTAGATTTATATATTTTGTTCTTCATTTTATAGAATAATCCCATTTTTATTTCTACTTAGAATGGTTTGCTTTCTTAGAAGTAAATAAATATTGTTAATATGAGTGGACTTCATTAAAGGCTAGAAGGAATACATCTTTATAGTAATCGCTAATTGTTTTAAGTACAATCACTTAAGTTGAATCTGTTTTCATAGCAACATGAGCTATTTAGTATTTTCATATTGCAATAACAATTGTACTGTCTTAGGAATGAAAATTAAATGTTTTTGACTCAACCAAACTGTGTTTCAGGTTAGCCACCATCCTCCCATTTCGGCCTGTCACTGTGAATCGAAAAACTTTGTGTTTTGGCAAGGTATACTTTTTAATTCAAAAGTGTAACTCCTTTTTTATTGCGAAGTAAAAAATTTGTGAAAGCTGAGCTTTTAATTTGGAACTTACCCAGAATTTCTATACTTATTATTTTGAAGTGACATATTATAAACTGATGATCTATTTTACTCCAAATTCTCATTAACAGTGAGCAAACATGTTACAGCTTCCCCTGCACTTGCAGCCTGTTTATACTCTCCCATTTAAAAGTTTTTACCAATAAAATTACTATTTCTTACAAACACAGTTCTTTTTACAGTTGAAAAAATTACTTTTTCTTTCCTTGTGCCTACTGGTGTATGCCTTTAATTTGTATTGAATATTTGCACAAGACATTTGACAATCATGCAGCACAGACATGATTCTTAATTAAACTTATATTTAGTTTTTCTGACCTAATGTAATTTTCTAGTATTTTTTTCTTTAGTATTTTCATGGCAAATTTATACTATCTACTGCCTTGTTTTGAATTGGGTAGTCTGGTGCCACACAGATCAGTGCAAGGGGGAGACCTAGGTCATTTCAGTTTTTTAAGTATTTCACTGTTATATTCAGATATCAGGTGGAAAAACAAATTCTGGGGAAAATCAATGGAAATTCTGCCTGTTGGAACCTTGAATGTGACTCTTCCAAAGTAAGCTACTCTCCTCTTGTTTTCAACCTTTGGTGCACTCCAGTCTGTGCTGCCTTGTGAATGGGTTGGGGTAAGCAGACATGATGTGGATTGTACTGGTGAGGGTTGGTGCCCAGCTCTAATCTCTCCTTAGTTTTCAGGTGGGACTAGTGCAACATTTTTGAGCCTGAAGATCTATTTTTGGTTTTGGAGGAAAAATATACACTCTAGAAAGTAATGGAGAGAGAGGGATAGAAATGTTTTGGGAGAGAGAACCCATGTTTTATGTGTCCAGCAGTGATGAGCTGTTCAGATCAAGGCTGCAGTGCAGGACTGTCAGCAGCTGGTGCTGTCCTAAGGCTCTCAATGCCACTGAGTGATCCCTCAGAACAACCAGATCATGAAAGGTCTTTTTTCAAAATGTAGATAAACCAAAGTATATTCTCTATAATTTGTATGGAGATGTTGGCAGAGTAGTGAGAAGCAGTAGTTTCACCACCAGTGAGACTAGTTGCAGCTTGTAAATCCTAAAAATATGCAAGGAGTGGGTACTTTAAAAGTGTCTTCTGGTTTTGTAGTGGTTCTTGCTCCTGTACATTGCAGCCAGCCTTTCTTTCTGCCTCTACCAGTATAGCATCACTTCACCTCTTTATCCGTCTCATAAATTTGAGGTAGATGGTAGGGATGCTCTGACTGTGCCAGTGTGCTCCTGGCTTCCTTCTTCCTTTCCTTGATTCTTGTCCAAATTTCCCACACTTGTACTATGGTTTTCATATTTATTTTGTTCTATTTGTGATTTAATTGCATTTTCTGCTTATAGTCTCAATTCAGCCTTATGTTAATCTTGGGGTCACTGTCCTGCCCCTATAGGAATTGTGGCCAAAGCACATCATGCTCTGAGGACAGTGAATAGGCCATGCAGGGCTTCAGTGGCTCATGATGTGTTTATTTGTGGTTTATAGCACCTTTCTGTGCCCTGGAGTTTAGGTGAGCTTCTCTAAGGAGAATTAGTAACCAGATACAGGACTTTGTCATCTCTGTGGGTGTTTTTGGGCAATGTGGTTTGTTTTTACAATAAAGGAGCAATGTTTTACTTTTTTGTCAGTAATGATCATGATGAATAGATGTTACCAACTACTTCTTAATCTCTTCTTAGGTATGGAGATTACTATGTCTGGAACAAAGTCACTACTTGCATACATAATATTCTTAGTGGAAGGAGATGGATAGAGCACTACGGAGAGATAACCATCAGAAACACAAAAAGCAGTGTTTGTATTTGTAAACTCACTTTTGTCAAGGTAACATACAGATGTTAATATATATCTTATATTGATATAACTGTGTAATTTAAGGGTACATCAAGCTGTTTCTTCACTATTCCTGAAGTCCATATTCCACATTTTATCTTTTATTCCTTTTATCAGTGTTCATAAAATGTAAATTGTCAAATGAGAATACTATGTCAATTAGTATGATTCTGTTCCACTGAACGTTTTATATCAGTACATTCCATTGCTGTATAGATGTGTGCTGTACTGTTGCTGGGTTTTGATTAAAAATGAAATGTCACTTTTTAAAAAATATTAACACAATGAAAACACAAAGTTACTGTACACTACCATGCCATTTTGCTTCTCCTTCTACTAGAATTTGCTGGTCAATATTTTATCTCTTTACATTATGTATTGCTGCTTTGGTTTATAGTATTTTAATATCCAGGCAAGGACCATATGTAAAAATAGAAGTTTATATAGCTATCTTACTATCAAGTATTTTCCCTAAAAATAAATTTGTCTTCACATTGCAACAAAAGACATCGATACCATTTTAGTGTTAGCAATGGGGTGTTAACATAAATCTGAAATTTGTGTTTTGTTGGATAATCTGAGAATGGGCAACTGGCTCTTGGATGAAGGTGTAAGAGCTAAATGTGTCTAAGAAAAGCAAAACAGAGAAGAGAAACAGAAATGTAATACTGGCTGAATGTCTTCCTGCTGCATACAGTAGTTCAGCACCATGAAAGGATTCCTGTGCAAGTACGGGTATATTCAATGCCTCCTCATGTAGGAAGAGGAGCGTTAGCTCACTCTGATAGGCAAAGGGTCATTTTTTGAATTGTATGGGATTTGTCTTAATGAATGAGAATGTAGTTCCCAGATGTGCAGTTAATTTAAATGCTTTTATAAAACCACATAGCAAATTATACAGTGTTTCTCCTATAATAAATCAGTCAGTGTTAGGACCATATGATTTTTGAATTTTGGTATTCTTAGTTCCAGGTGAGCTGTTCCAACACAGAATTTGGACAGCTGGCACCACATGCCAAGAGGCATTCATTATGTGTTTTGGTACAATGGGTTGTTGGAAAAGCAGCATGAGCTAGTCATTCTTGGTTAAACTTGCAGGTGAACTACTGGAATTCAAATGTAAATGAGGTCCAGGGCGTTGTGATAGATCAAGAAGGGAAGGTGGTTCACCGCCTTTTTGGAAAGTGGCATGAAGGCCTCTATTGTGGGGTTGCACCTTCAGCCAAATGCATATGGAGACCAGGTAAGAGGCTTGTAAAAAATTCTGGAAGGTGTGAAGCTGCTTTAAACTTGATTTTAAATGCACAGAATAATACTAGAGAAATTTAAATCCCTGTTTAGGCAAACAACAATTTACGTGGGTTTATAATAATGGTAAATGGAAATGTTCTTACAGGGCGTAATCTTTTACATCTCAGTCTGACTCCTGGTCAGATATGCTGGGACCTTGGGGTCAACAGAAGAATAAAATTAAGAAAAAAATTGGGCATCTGGACAGGTCTGTCTGCCTTCTGACAGAGAGCAGGGTAACTTTTTTGGATTCACCAAATAGGCGTTTATTGAGTTTGTTGTCCTAAAGCTTTATTAGCCTAAAGGATTGGTCTTTAGAGGTGGTGAACACCTGGGACTTTCAGGATTTGATTTCAGCCTCAGGCTTGCTTAGAGGCCTGAGGTTGAATTAGTCATCCTTTGCACCTGTATCTTTCATAAATGCATTATCCAGGAATTACTGTTCTTAGAATTTTGAATCCTACTTTGTATTTTTGGTATTTTGAACTGTACTTTGCACCCTGCTCTCTGCAATGTCTGCTCTGAATCCTTGTAATGGCAAATCAGTCTGTGAGTGTGTGCTAAGTTTCAAAATGAACTCTGAAGATCAGTTAAGGTTAGGTTTTAGACAGACATTTGATAGACCCACTATCTGGGGAACGGGAAACTGTTTTTAATTTGAAAAGCTTGAAAACATTAGTTTTTATTTTAAATGGGAGGAAGATCATAAAAGCTTTGAGTCTATTAAAATGTAATTACAATCTCTGCAGGAAAAGCAGTTGATATTAATATTTAGTGAATTTTGTTTCACTTAGAGAGTAGCTTTTGATGATTTTTAATTGTAAGAGTAAAATATATTAATTATTTTTCTGTTAAAAGTTCATAAATAAAGGAATCTCTTGCATATTTAGAGTAATAGCTTAAAAGCTTTTTTCTTTGTCTTGTGTGTTCAGGCTCCATGCCAACCAATTATGAGCGTTATTACGGCTTCACGAGGTTTGCTATTGAGCTCAATGAATTAGATCCTTTACTGAAAGATCTTCTTCCTGCAACAGATGCACGATTCAGGCCAGATCAAAGGCAAGAATGCTTATTTATGCATTTAATATTTGGTGGGCTCAAGGCTGAGTTTGGCTGAGTCTTGAATTCTGTCTGTGTCTTCACTGCAGTCTGAATTAAGCTGTGGAGGATTCTGCTAGTAGAGAACATAGTCAGTGTTGCACTCAAATTCCTGCTTAACCCAGCTGAGGGAAATTAGAAAGCTTCTTGTTGATGCCACAGAGCTATAGTGGAACCTTGGGGCAGATTCCTCATGACAAACTGGAAAACAGGCTCTGAAATGCCGTGCACTTCTGCTATGGATGGAAGCAACACTAATTCCCTCCAAATCCTCAGTTCATAGTCCTTCAGTGTTTGTGATATGCTGAAGGTGCTGAACAAAGCGTGTGCCTTAGGCTGTAGGTCAGGTACACGTAGCTGGGGAGTTGCGTCTCAGGCTGGATCTGAAAGTACAACACTGACAACACACTTGGCTTCTGCTTGTCTTTTGTGATGATGGGTGCTGGAAAATCCCTTGGACTAGACACTGTGTGATTTCTATACAGCCTGCTGTTATTCCTACAGGCTTCTGGAGGAAGGAAATATAGAAGCAGCAGCATCTGAGAAACAAAGAATAGAGGAACTCCAGAGAGCTCGGAGGCGATACATGGAAGAAAATGGCATTGAATATGTACCCAAGTTTTTTAAGTGAGTCTTTTCATTTGAGTAGTAAGTCTCTGTTTTCCAGCATGTAACTGGATGAAGTACTACAAGAATTGCCAACACAGACTGATAATCATGAAAGCTTGGAAAGTTGCAGTTTTAACAAAGATAATAAGATATCTGACGCCTGCTTCTCTGAAGCGCTTTTTACACAGTTAAGCTTCATAATTGAATGATCATTTTCTCATAATGGGCCTCAGCTATATAAGCCTTCCTACTGAAGTGGAATTGGAAGTATAATATTAGGATCTAAGATTTAACTAGGGACATTTTAAAGTCATTGCACAGACAAGGAATACTGTGTAACCTGAACAGCAACATCATATATATATATCTACAACATATATATATATATAAATGTATATGTATACACTTAAAATACATTCATTTTTGAATGAAGGTGTTTTTTGTTGGCTGTTTTTTCATTAAGCATTCTTCTGAAACAAGGAATAGCCATACCAAGTAGCCTCATGTCTATCATGGGAAATCAAAAGTAAAAAGACTGAATGTTCTTGATCCAGTTGTAGCATAATATAAGCAAAATGCAGAGACAAAAAAAAAAAAAAAAGATTAAAGGCTTACATTCTGCAAGCTATATCTGTTGGATAATCCCCTTCACATAATCAGAATATGTAGTGAACAAAGGGGTCTTAGGTGGCTCTAAGACCTCCTCTCACAGATCAAACAACAGATTTTCAGTCTCGACTGTCTTCTCTGTCTTCTGCTGTTTATATTGGTAGAGGTTGATTTTTGTTTTGTATTTCTGACTGTTCTTGTGTCCTTTAGAAATACAAAATTTTACTTAATATTGGGTTAGATCAGAGAAGTGTGGAATTTGATTTTCTGTTGTATAAAAGCAATATCTGTAATATAACGTAAAAACTTTTTTTGTCTCTTTATCTCTCTTTTATTTTTTCTCTTCCTACAGAAAAGTTATTGATGCTAATCAAAGAGAAGCCTGGGTTACCAATGAAACCTACTGGGAACTGCGAAAGGATCCCGGCTTTAGTAAAGTAGACATTCCTGTACTCTGGTAAACTGAGAATGTAGACCTAGTAAACATATCACTCTGAAGAAAAAAAATAACTATGCACAATATGTTTCTTATAGCTAAGTGTGGTTTGTGGGTCTACAGAAAAACCATATCATATGCATTTATACTCATCTTTATAATGGACTTTTGGAAGTGCATTAGACCAGGCCCCTGACCACTTCTGGATCTTTCTAATTTTGCAGCAGCCATCAAAACTAAAAAAAGAAAAAAAAAAAGAAAAAAAAAGAAAAAAAGGAAACAGAAACCTTTTGAAGTTTCATATACTGAAAATTCAGAAATAAAGAAGCTGATGAGATATCCAAAGTCACTCGGAAGAGGTGGTAAGCGCAAAACTGCAACCGGTGCTTTAAACAGACATTAAGAGTAATACAATTTAAACTAAAAAAAAAAAAAAAAAAAAAAAAGAAAAAGAGAAAAAATCTTCCATTTTGTTTCAACTATTTTTGTTAAAAACTCTTGGGTCACAACACTGTCATTTCTGGCTTCAGGTTAGTCCTTTGGTGTGATGTGCTTGGACTGGCCTTTGTCAAAAAGATGCTTTTCTGGAAGCTGTTCCCATTCATATGCCATTGTTCATGCCTTAACAAAATATGAAGATGTACATTAAGTAATTTTAAAATATCTCTGCTTAGGCTTGTGTGAAGGGCAGATTTTTAAAGCTCTAGAATTTTATCACAATATAAATACTGGAAGACCTGCATTATTTGAAGTCAAAAGATAACCAAACATCTAACTGTATTTCAAAGGATGAGACCTACTGTACATGCTTTAGCTTTGGGATGCTGACTGTATAATCAGACTGAAAAGAAACTGCTAGCTGGTTGAATTTTGATTTTAGCAAATGCATATGAGTTGCTAGTCAGAAAGTTCATATTCTAAATTACTGATGCTGAGATGCAGTCGTCTCATTTAGTACTTGATGGACATAGATCTCTCAGTGAATCTCATTTTCCCCTAACTGTTTATACAATTAGAAATCCCTGAAGCTTTGCAACAGTGTTAAAAGCACAGAAAGATTTCATGTGAAGGTCTCTGGTTTCTCTCCAAAAGCTGGATAGTACTGTAAATGCAACTGTTTTCTGCCACACACACTGTTTATTTTCCTGGCTCCGTTTTTTCCCCATCCACTTTTCTTGTCTAAAATTATGTTTGAGACTATGGCAGAGGCTCCCATGTTATGGCTAACAACTTCGACTTGTGTTGCCAAAACAGCTTTTGTGCAAAATATACTTTCCATTTTCTCATAAAGTGGTTCTATATTTTTTGGTTAAAAACAAAGTCTCTTATGTGTTGCTAAGCCTCAATTAATATAAGTGGGAGAAGACTTGGCACTTTCTATTTGAAAATATCTGAAACGTTAAACAGTAGGAGGGCAGATCTTAACAAAAGAAAAAAACCCAGTAATTTATCAGATAAGAGCTACATTCCATATGGTATGATCTAGTCTTCCATTTGTGCATGTGTTACACATCCCACCACTGGTGATAGGTTAGATTTCCTGCACAGACTCTGTATTGCTTTCTGCCTATACATGACATATGATTTTTCTATTTAAGATTGATTACAGTCCTGAGACCAAAAATAAAATTACTAGATAGGTATGTGATCTGCCAGCAGAGCTGCTTGAACAGTTGTCAATGTGCACCACACATCCCCAGCTCTCAAAGCCTGCTTCTTCCTTTTTCCGAGTCAGGTCCCCATAGAACTGAGATTACTTTGGTCATTTAATATTAATTTAGACCTCCCTGTTGGTCATATAGCAAAGTAACTAGCTGCTAATCAGTTCCAATTTCTTCACACACTTCTGTTATCAGAAAGAACTATGAAAACCTACAGAAAATACTAAGTAGACTCTTATGAATTGAGAATGCACATGAATTTTTAATAAAAATTTGGTATAAAAATCCCTGTGTAGATAGTTGGGATTTCTTCCAAAGGAAATTTTAAGTTATTCAAAGAATGTTATCTTTCTCTTTCCTAGTTGAACCTAGTCTGATTTATTCTTATTTTAGTTCTGCAATTGTTATTATAAGAAAATGAAAATATATCAAAGTTGGTTTTCTAAATAATATTTGGTTAAGGTCATCCTGCTTGCTTTAACAATATTACACAAAGAATCAAATTGGCACATTGTGTGTAAAATAGCAATTAATTATTCTATGTAATTTTCTTTAAAGCCAACTCTATTAAACATTTGCCCATCTTTTGCTCCAGTCCTTGTGTGCAGTTCACTGTGATATGAGGAAGTATTATTTGTGTATGATTGAAGCACATTTGAGGGACAGAACTGCATGTTCTCACATCTTTAATTTAAATACAGGTCTTTAGTTTTACAGCATTCTGGCAGTGCTCTGTGAATGCCATTATTTGCAATGCAAACTGAAACTTGGTGGACAGAAAAAATTCTATTACTGAATTGTTTTTTACAATTGTTCATTTGACACTCATTGAAAGAAAAATAACACTAGCACTTCTAAAATCTAAAAAATCTATGATATGCTAAATCTTTCTATTGAAGGCACTTTCTAAGTGAGGAGGATGTTAAATTAGTTACTTAGTAAGTAGAAAATACACAAAATTATGTAACACAAGATTTTTGCAGTCTGTATCAGAAATGAAAAAGTTTCAAGCAGATGTACCATGAAGCAGTTTCTCATAATGCAGAGTTCTCTGTATTCTTTGCAAAATCTGTTATTGCATTTTTCCTCTAACATTGACAGACATCCTGGAATATTTTGTGCTGTTTCTGTTGTGGATAGGTATGAGGGCTCCTATCCAAATTATAATTTTTAATCAACCTGTGATGTTTCCCAGCATTGAGTGAGAGGGCATGGTGAGTTTTCCCCATCCCCTGCCCGTGTAGTGCAGAATTGAGTATCCCATGCTGCAAAGAGAGTGCAACACTGGGTGTTCTGCAGCCTGGCACTTCTTGTAAATGCTGTCTGGTTTTTGGCAGGGCTGCTGCTCAGACATCTCTCTTCCCAGCACGTGGGATTTTTCCGCTCCAGGAGCAGACTTTTCACTTCTATTGAACCTTGTGAAGTGTTTCCTGGCCCAGTCCTCAAGTTGAGCAGTGTCCTTCTAGTTGAAGGTTTGCCATCTGGCATGCCATCTCATCCTCCTAATTTGATGTCATCTGTGAGCTAGTTATCTTGTAGTCTTATGTCCTTGTCCAGGTCACTGGTGAGATGTTTGACATGGCCACAGAACTGATCACTGCAGGGCTGTCCTCATTGCTGGCTGCCAGCAGGGCAGAAACCATTGATCACTGAGTGCTCTTCCAGCCTGGGATTCAAGCAGTTTTCAGCCCACTAACTCCATTCATCCAGGCAATATTTCCTTTTGGAAGGCCTGAAAAACCCTATCCAACTCAGTAGACTTAATTGCTATATGCTCAATAAATATTGAAAATTTGTGTAAATCATTTGACACATAAAACTTTTAATGCAATTTAAGAAGTTCTGTCGCTTCAAAGACATATGCTTTTCTCCTGTGTTTTCTGAAAACACTTATTTCTGTATAAAAATACACAATACTTATTTTAGTTTTAGTTTCACAATAGTGAGCTGTACTTTCTATTAATATTTTGAAAGTGCATCTTAATTTCTTCCTTGTTCTGGTACTTTGCATATGATAAGGTAATAGTAGCTATTTTCATCAAATGCAATGTCTTGCAAACATTTAAATAGCTTCATTCTTATTTTAGATTAGTATTATCAAGATGGCAGAGTTTTGGCATATTAGAATTTTTTATCTCACACGAAAAGATGATTTGAGGTTTTTTTTTGAGGTGAGAAAGAAAATCTTTCACCAGTGGAGCCCAGCACAATTGCAGTCTTAGACTGAGCTTCTCCTCAAAAAAATCAGAATTTTTAGAAATGCCCTGGAGGGGAGGAGAAGTTCACTTGCCATTGCAAAATAACCAAGAGGGCTGAATATATCCATTCTCTGTATTGCAAAGCTTGCTCTCACTAGTAAAGGGAATGTTTGTGTGCTCTCCTTGTTTTACTGGATTTTAGACATTGTCTGGTGCAACAATAAACAATAGCTATTTTACACATGTTGGCAGCAGTTATAATCTGAGGAATGAACATTTTTAGATGCCATTAGTAATAATGGAGCTGCTTAATTAAAGCAAAGATTAAATGCATCTGAAAGTGTATTTGTGTTCATATTCTAAAATGTTAGGAGGGGTTAAGCTAGAGAGTTTTGCCCACCTGGGGGAATAAGATTAATATTGACAGAAGTGTATCAGAAACACTGGAATGGCCTCACTGGTAACCATGAGAAAGCTCAGGAAATTTGCTATGTCATAACCACTTACCTTGGCAGATACTGGGGGTGAAAAACACTTCCTTGTTTTTTCTTTCTGTCTGTCATTAAGTAACAGTCATCAAAACTGTGTAAAACTTAAATTTACACTTCAGTGCATATATTGATATTTTCAAGGTATGTTTAGTATAAAAAGTACTATAATTTTCTACTTCAGCATTCCTGGTTACTTTTATGGTAATTAGGATACCAGTCAGTATTTTCACGTAGAAAGTGTGGGGTTTGGTTTTTTTTTTCTTCTTCTTTTTTTTTTTTCATGGAAGAAATAAAGATGTAATAATAAAGATGTAATTATTCCTGGTGAGAGTATCTCCATAATCTCCATTACAACAGTGACAGGCACCCAGGGGAATGCTGCAAATCTGAGTAAGGTCAGAGAAATTGCACATTTACAGCAATTTATCTAATTTTTGTATTATATATTGTAAGGAATCTACTTACAAAAGCAACTACATTATTTACGCTTAAACTAGGGTATGTAAAACCTTTATTCATTTGCTTTAGTAGAAATGATATATTTATTTCATTAAAATTTAATGTATCTGAAATGTATCTTTATAAAAGGATTTTTATACAGTTCTTGCAAGTTTAAAAAGTAATATTGATGTACTTGTGTTTATATACCAGCCTCCTACTTTGTCAAATTTTGTGGTATTACAAACTCACCATCTCTAATTTTTTTTAAATTTTTTTAACTTTCCTTGCAATCTTTGTCAAACCTCAGAAAAGAAAGGCAAGGGATAGACAACAATGCAGAGTGGCGAAACTTGTCACAGAAGCTCTGTCAGTGTGAGAAGTAAAAAAAGAGAAAGTTCTCTGACTTGTAGGAATTAAACTGTCAGCAGAGCTGCTGAATTAGTTTTAGGCTGGTTATCTTAATACCATTTTTCTTTCCACTGATCCATGGCAGCATGAAAAAAGGGAAGATTGGAGACATTTGCTCAGAAGTAATGCTGAAGGTAAAGGGAAGTTTTTACTCCTCTCATAAATAAAAAATTACTGTAACCAGCATTTGGCTGAAGATGTCTTGGTAACTTGGACAAGAAAGAGAGTTACATAGTCTGAATATATAATCAGCAGTGTGCAATATGTTCTCTCTGACCTGTGAATAATTCATTGAAGTATGGTAAAGCTACTTATTGGTACTCCTGGAGCAATGACTCAGATGTCTCCTGTGAAACACTAAAATGTATTTTCATATTGACTGCTACTTTTAGTGGTCTGCATTGGTGAAAGAGGATATCTTATGCTAGTCTGTAATGTTGCTGGCCCAGAACATTAGGCATGCAAAATGGGAAGAGGTGAGGAAATTCCTTCAGAAACTCAGAAATGGGTAAATTCTCTGAGAATCAAAATGATGTGCTCTACAAGAGCAGAACACAATGGCAAATATTCAACCAGAACTGTTCTTCACTGAGCTACTTGCTTCTGGTGCCAGTCAGTGTAGCTACACATGCAACCTCCTGTTTTGAAATTGCATCTCTTTTTGGGATTGTGCATTTGTCCCAAGGGTTGCTTTGTCATGTCCACCAAGAATAATCAGTGGCTGAGTCAGGACTGCAAATTCAGATTTCTTGTCTAGTAGTCATGTGCTGAACACTCTCTCTTTCTTTGTTAAAGTCATCTGAACAAGGAATGTTATAGTAACATTGTCATAGTGAATACAAGGTTAATCCTCAGTATTTTCCAGGGAAAGGAAAATTCAGGATAGCTTCTTTAACTATGTGGAAGAAATACAGATTATATCTTCTGTTATCCTTATGTTTGCTTAATATTTTATAAAATATTTTGAGATTGGATCACAATAAATATATTAAAATTACTTTATTCCCTATTTTGAAGTTGACATTGAAAATTGTCATTTCTATTTGAGGTTAGGAAATAAGTCTATTTAATTTTTGAAATAAGTGCTACTTGCATTCTTTAGTAGTTGAGATACAGTATAACAAATTCAGATCACAGTAAATTTTCTTTTCTGCTGAGTCTCACAGAAGACCTGACTGAGCAGAAAAAATAAACGCTGATGAGTGTATTTTGGTATGCAGGCAAAAATGCAAACTTCAACTCCAGTAAGCTTTATCTCTAATTAGCAAAGACACTGTTCTTGTTCCTTTTTAATAATTTCTAGACTACTTACTTTCAAACATTTTTTCCACACTAAGAATTAATCCGATGGAGTTTGATTTTTACCAAGTAAACTGTGTTTGAAATTCTGCAGACATGAGGGTTAGTGTTCATGTCATGCTAAATGTCCACTTCTTACGGTGCACCACTAAAATTTCACCCTCAGGCCAAAAATATTTATCAGTGGGCATTTCTAGTGGGATTCTTTGTGTATGGATTTGTGTCTATGTTATTTAATGTAAAATAAGTAAAAAGTCAAGCTGCCAGCATTTGATGTCAGAAATATTTTTCTTCCCCAGAACTGCATAGCAAACTACCTGTTCTTATCTGTTACTGCTAGATTGTCTGAAGGGATACTTTTATTTAGCACATGAAATGCCATCATAAAAATGAAACTCCTGTGGTATCAAGAAAGATTATTATAATAGTTCTGTACTACTGTGATAGTTCTGTATATTTTATTTGTTGCATCCAGTAGCAATACTCTTCTCTGGGTCTCTGTCTACTTTTCTTCATATAATTAACTGGTGATGTATAATTTCTCAGTATTTCAACAGCAAAGAATTCTGTATTTTCTCTCACTTTTGCACAAAGCTAATATAAATTTGGAATAATGTCGCACTTTTCTTGGTGTGATTAGATCCCATGTGCACATGTATGAAATGTTGTAATGTTAGTATTTTTACCTTGTTCATATTCTGAGAATGCCATTAGAAGGGTAAGGTTTAGATTAGTTGTTATTTTTATACAGCCTTACTGAGCTTCTTTGCTTGTAACAACCTTTCAGGTGGTAGATTGCCCTGTGCCATTCTTTAATGGGCCACAATGTCAGAACCTAAAGAGCTGAAAGAGCATTCTTTGCTGATTGCCCATATCTATGTGCTCATTCTGAAAAAAAAAAAAAAAAAAAAAAAACCAAACAAGCAAAACAAACCATATCTGTTGTTCCCTTGTACACCTCTTTGGGTAGCTTACCTGTAAAAGGAGATCCTCAGAGTCTTTCTACTGTGATTATGCTATTGTGTCAGGTACAAAGACAAGCAGAAACTTGCTTTGTGGTTTTTAAGATGAATTTAAAGGCAAAAATTGCTTTTAAGAAGTATAACATACAGAGCCAGTGCTCCTTTGGAGTAGTGGGTCGATAGTGTCTGTTTTAAAGGGAAATAACAGACTGTAGTGAGAAAGGGTCTGAGTTCTCAGGTGCACCAGATACATTTTTTTTCTGTTATTTGAAAGCAATAGAAGAAATTTACTTAAGGGAAAGAAAGGCAGTGATAAGCATTTATGTACCTATCTACCCAAGTGTTGCAGAATGCATTGTTTTTTGAGTACTTCAGTATTAAACTTCACATGCAACACTCCCAATTTTATATTCAAAAGTTTGCTGTGGACTTCCATAATGACATGACAAAGAATGGGATACCGGGAAAAAAATCAGTACCATAATTTCTAAATAACTCTTAAGTAACAGAAAATTAATTTTCAGATATTTGTAGTGAAAATTATATAAGCTACTTATAGTATAGCAATTTTTAAAAACATAAGTTTGGTCCTTTGTAGTACATTCAGTAATTTAACATTTAAAAAAAATATTGTTAATTGTTCTTGATTGATTTCCTGCAAATGTATTCATCTGCTCTAGACTATTCACAAGTTTGAGATGTCTTCATGGTGATTCTTTACATCTTATTAATTCTGATTCCAACTATGAGCTGATTATACGTGTAAGAGCAATTTTATTGCTTATGATTAGTAAACACCAGGAGCTGAGGAGCAATACAGAAAGGGTGTCATTTGTGTATTCCATATCTACAGGTTTTTATTTCACTGCAGGAGTTAATCAGCAATGCACATCAGATTTTTTTCCTGCTCCATCTGCTTGGACTCTGACTTTGCACAGGCATCAATGTGTACTTAGCATGAACATTGCAAACAGTTCTCATTTAAATGAGTTTAAAAGATGTAGATGCTTAAGTTCAAATAAAAACACTTTACAGTGACATTCCTAAGAAAACAATGTACTGGCTTACCTGGTTAGCCCAGGTTTTGTAGCACTTGATTTCTAATTCCTACATGCTTAACCAAATGAGCACCCAGCCAGGGCCTGAGCTGCTGTCGGTACTCCGTTCCCCTTGAATCCCGTGAGCTTCCAGGTGAGTGGATGATCCAGCTGCCCAAATCTATTTCAGCTGTAGGCCTAATGTGCCTAGGTATTCAGCTAGTTGCCCTTAAGCTTAATTTTGAATATATGCGCCGTGTTGTGGAAGATAAAATGTGTGAAATACAGTTGGTTTGACTGCTTGCTACTCTGAGCAATATATTTAACTTTTCTTTGACTCTCTTGCATTTTGGTACCTTATTCCGGAGATTGTAATTTTAAAAACAAGTTAACTTCATGTCTCTGCAAAGCTCAATTAGATATGACATTTGGAATAAAGAACAGTACATTAAAACAATAACAATTCGTCATATTAGGTCTCATTCTGGCAAGCTTAATTGTAAGAATATTTGCAATCCCTGTTCCTGTTTCCCTATACTTTCCCCAGGATGGTGCCAGCCCAGAGCTGAGAGTTGCTAGTACTGTGTGCCAGTCAAAAAAAGGAGTCTAATCTTTCTGATTTGTGGAGCAGGGGGTGGCAGACAAAGAACACGCTCTTAATCTTAGCTCGGAAAAGGATGAATGTGAGAAAGTGCCTCTCTCCGTCTAGGCTTTAGCACATACATAGAATTGCTTTCTTTTGGTATTTTGTGTTCTCTAGCTACTTCTGAGATTAAACCTAGCCAGAAAAGAGCAGTAATAAAACAGTTTTAAGTTTCCATGTAATGCAGCTGCAACACTTACTCTGTGTCTTTGCACTCGTAAGCTGGTTTTGAACGTACTGTTGTAGTAATGCAGAGAGCAGATGAGGCCTCACACTGACTACCTCTCATGCAATAAAACCCAGGCTCATTCAGTAGTTAATATTGATTACAGCTGAGCATCCTTCAGCCACACCATTCAGGGAGGTGGTAGTGGGGGGAAGAGTAAACAAGAAATAATAACAAAGACTTTATTCCAGTGATGTATGTGGTATACATGATACCCATAATACCAACTCCAACTGAAGGAGGTCCTACACCTTCTGGTAGGAAATAAAAAGTGAATTTGGCTATGCTATAGTTTTTGTTGTGCTCTAAAATGTAACAAAAGATGTCATCTGTTTCCTTCAGGCTAAGTCAGATTTTCCAGGATATTGTGTCCAAAACATACACGCAATTCTAATTTTTGAGGAAACATGATGCTCTTTTACCTGTTGCAATGTAATTGGATAATGCATGTACAAATGACTTGTGTAGCCTGCCAATGAATGTTGCTAATGCCTTACCAAAAAAAAAAAAAAAAAAGATAAAGCATATTTTTTGTATTTTTTTTTTCCTCAGAGGCAAATCCAAACAATGCTAGATTTGGGAAACTGTTTACTGAAAAGCATTTTCTAATAGATCTCTGAAGAAGTGCAATTGTATAATTACTATTGTTCAGTGCATACAGTACATTGTCTCCATCACTCTGTACACTGCTGCTATTAGTGCTTGTTCTAATAAATCTCAATGTACACTGTTTAAACTGCTGTGTTCTGATTTATTAATATAAGAAACACTTGAGGCAATGGTTCTTGAATAAACTATTTGTAACTAGTTAGATTATTAATCATAAAATTCTTAATAGATATTTTACAGATTGATTTTGAAGAGGTGGGTGAAAGTGGTTGCAAAAGCACTGAAATGGTGGCTTTTCCTTTCTAACCTTTTTTCACTGCAGAAATATTTTTGTAAAGTTTTTCCCATGTGATTCTCTCTACAGTTTCTTTACATCTGTCAGGAACTACCAACTGCAGTCTCAAAGAACGTAATTTTCTTTTTGGCAGTTCCTAGTTATATCTTCATACTGCAGCTGATAAGAGCCTTTTTCTTTTTTTTTTCTTTTTTCACTTCAGCTTTTGTTCTTTGTGATTAAAGAGAGCTTGCAGCATGCTTCTCAAGTTTTGAGAGAGGGTGTAGAAAAAATGTTCTCTAATACATTTGGAAAAAATGGAAATGAAAGAAAAAAATAATTACTTGACACCCACCCTGTCTGGCCTCTTGGAAAAATAACAGTATGTGGGATTTTGAGGTTTTTCCATTATGTGTTCTTGTCAGCTGTTCGGCCCTTAAAATTAAAGCATAATAAAAAATAAGAACTTGGTTGCAAGGAGAAATTAAGGTTTTTGTTATTTCTTGGCATTGTAAAAAGAACAAGTGTTCAAACAGTCTGGAATGCTGCCTGAGTGGAAGCAATTGCAAAGGAAGGGAAAAGGCTTTTTTTCATGAATGGCATTGCTTTCTGTCTTGTGTCAGAGTACACTTCTTGTCCAAACCTGTGCTCTGTCGGAAGGGGCACACTAGGAGCTTTTTCCCTGTTAAACCATTCCACGAGGGGAACTCAGCTCTGCTTTCACCTTTGTCCAGTTGAGATCTGTCCTTTAGCTCTGAATGCTTTGGATGCCTGTGACTCAGCAGAATTACTGTGCATGAGTGAGGTGTGAAAGGTTTTATGTCATTACCTAATTGATAAAAAAATCAACATAGCAAACCTTTGGCAATAGAGTGCAAGAGATCTGAGAGGCAGCACAAGCAACCTGACACCCAATTTAGCATCAAGACTATTCCTTTAGGTATGGAAGTAAATTACATGTTTAGATTTAATCTAAGCAGGAGACAGGTGATGTTCTTCATAACCACAAACATGTGGGCGCTGTGGTGTGGGGAAGTGAGACAGCGTGGGACGCTATTGACAGGATTTCATCCTGACTCAGCTAAAGGAGTTGCCCACAGAAAGCTGTTCCAAGTTTCACTGCTGGTACAAAAATCTGTTCTGATATGATGATACATAGCGTTTTTTGCACAGCAACATATCAAGCCACGTGGCTCTTCAAGTCATCATGATCTTACTAAATATTTAATTTGTCTAAATATTAAAAAAACACTGTACTTCAATATGGAAAATTATTTTTCAGGTAAGTAATTATTACTAAGTCAGGTTAAAAGAAACCAAGCTAACATATCATTCAAGCCCAGAGTACCAGGGGCTAACTGTGGAAGCACTCTATTTTGATTGAGTAGTGAGTCTAATTTTTCTCAAGGGCAGCAAATAAAATGTCTTCTATTTAGACTGTCATTTTTATTTCTGAAAGCTATGTCTAAGATTTAAATTAGAATAGATAAGACAGGTTAGGTTGTATATCCCATATCTATATCCCAAGTGCATATTAATAGTAGTACATTTAAAAAATCATTTTTAAAAAGTGTGCATAAATGCATGTTACAGACATGAATCTGTTGTGAAGATGCTTTTTGCCTGTGCTGAGACTACATTAGATTATGTTTGTAATTACAAGGATAAGTTCCAAAGCAAATCCAAATATGTAGTTGCTTTTCTCACTGATGAGAGTCTGGCTGCATTTCCCTTGGTAAAGAAAAGAAACTAATTACTAGCTCAAATTTCACAACCACCCTAGGCTTCTTGAGCAGGTTTTTTGACAAGTCAGTGGAGGAAAAAATTATAAACATTCTCAAAAGGTTACTTATTGGACTGTATGTGGACTATAAATTCTGGTAAGGATGTTGGGTTATTTCTTTCAACTGATAAAATTTAAGGTGTGAATTGTCTTTTAAGTTCCTATTTAAGTAAGTTATTTCTGAGGACCTTGCATTACAATTAGCAGTCAAAGAAATTCAAGAGCACAAGAGCACATCCATTCTTCAGTTCTAGTTCAAGAGCTGACTTCACTTAAATGCTGATCAGCTGACCTAGAATAACAGTATCTGGCTACTTTTCAGGTTTGGTGACAAGAATTTTTTATGTCATCTGTCTGTCAAAATGTTTAGTATCTGGAAACTGCTCAAGTCTTTTACTTTATGCCTACAGGTGTGAAAAAATGAATTAGGAAACTAGATGAAGATATATTCTTGCCTTGAAAGCATGAAAAGGAACAGGCTGAATAAACATAGAGGTGATTATGAAAGAGGATACTGAATTCTTGCATGCCCTACAAACACTGATTTAATCTTGTCTGTTTATAAATGCTCTGTATCCAAAGATCTGAGAGTGCTTTGTAATAGTAATAACCAGCTCTTGCAGTATTCTTCCCTGAGAAGTGACACATTAGCACAGCCACATGCAGTAGGTTTCATAATTTCATAGACAGAGGTTAATTGCCCAGTATCGTAGAACAGCTAGTGTCAATGCCAAAAATAAAAGCAGTCCTGCTGCTCAGTTTAAAACATAAGGAGAAGCAGCAAGGAACAAGATGTCTATGACTGAAGGAAATTTTATATAGATGTAACTGTACCAGCACCCATCAGACAGTTTAGCATGACAATAAAATATAGCAGACAAATCTTTTGTTTGTAATTTTTCTTCAGATATAGTGGCACAGCAGCATCTACAGTTCCACATCCACAGGTGGATGGACAAGCCCACAAAGCTGTCCTCTCACACAGCTACTGAAAGATGCTGGTTAATAAAAGATTTTGCCATTTGGGCAGCATCCTTCAAAGGAAAGGAAGCATTAAACAGTTTACTTTAGATGACACTGGCTTGTTTTTTTCCAGATTTGTCGTCACAAGCTAATAATGCTACATGATGGAAGTAGCTTTGTTGTATACAGTAATGTTTATGTAACAATTGAAAGTTGGAAGATGAAGGGAGAAAAGAAATCTTAAGTGTTAACTGACTGGATAAACTGAGCTGGTATTGAAAAGATTAAACCCCAAATTTGCACCATATTATGCTGGTAATTTGTTTAATATCTTCTTAATGTGCAAAAAGATGCTATCAGTTGCCAGACTGAGAGCTGAAAGATGTGCCTGCTTCTCACAGGTGGTAAGTGTAAATGCAAACATGCTATCTCAGCATATCAGTCCCTGGAGGAGTACTTTGCATTCCTTTTTAGTAAAGGCTTCACAGTTAACACATCCATCTCTCCATTGAAAATATTGCCATTCATACTGGGGCAATTACAAAGAAGAAAAGAGCTGGGATATTTCATGCACTCTAGAGAGGGACACATGAAACATAGATTAAGTAACGTCGGTGTTGGTGAACAAAGGTCTGGAACCTGAAAGGTAAGTCTGTGGAAGAGCATATAAAACAGTCACCAGAATTTGTATTCCAGGAGCTCTGAAGTTGTATAAGTCATGGTATTAAACTGCCTGGTTTTGCTTGGACATGAGAATTTCTAGACAAATGCCACCTCAAAAAAACCCCAAAAAACCAAAAAAGAAGCCAAGTGCTGTTAAAGCCACTCAGGTTGTTGGTAAAACCCAAAAAGTATGTATGTAATTAGAACCATATTTTGCCCCATAAAATCTTATTTTTGTTACCTCCTGAAATATACCAGTGTCTATATCACTCAGATCCTGTGTTTCTAGGGAAATACTCATGCCATATGCTGGAAAGTTACGGAATTTTGTGAGTAATTTTTTCAGTAGCATTTTCTTTTTCTGTTTTTTATATGTTAAATTCTTGTACTTGTTCTTCTGCAGAGGTCTGCAGGTAAACAATACAGTTCAAAGGCACTTGAAGTGTACATGATACATTCCTGTTCAATTGCCAGGAGATCTGGCGACTGATGGCATCCTTTTGTACACTAAGACGATATTAAACAAATTACCAGCATAATTTGATGTAGATTGTGGGTTTAATCCTTTCAAGTGAAACATCAACTAAGTTTATCCAGTCAGTTAACACTTAAGATTTCTTTTCTCTCTTCAACTGACTGCTTAATCATGCTAATCTTATGATATGGTTGACTTGGCAATAAATAAATTAAAGTCAGATCAGTTCAAGTGGATTACAGATGGTTTAAGATTTCTGGATTGAAAATAATGAAATAAATCCACATTTTCAGTTCCTTGGACAAATCTCTAGTTTGCACTACCTTAGATCACCTTATAGATGCCTTTTTAGACACTCTGTAATTACAGGTGACCGACATTCCTGCATGGGATAACGTAGGATAACTATCTAATATTAAACCAAAAATCATTATAGAATTGTCTTTTAACTACACAAAACCTTCTGCATCTTCCAACACCATGCAGAGAGCAGGATTGTCCTCTAGGTTTTACTCTTAAAAAATCTCCATGTTTTTATCAATATGATGTGAGGAAAAAAATACAGTATTTAGGCATAAAATACCTTCCACTATATATAGCTAATACTTGCTATGTTACTACTCCACGGCTAGGACCCACTCTGAAAAAACAGAACTCATCTTGCATAGGAAATAACCTCTCTTGCTTTTTTCTCCAGGGGAAGGTAATCAGGCTAAGAAAGTCCCCTTCTGCAGGGGGCTGTGCAGAGGGGAGCTTTGTCAGTGCCCTTATGTGGCTCTGTGCTGAGGGGAATGGAGCATTCCAGCCCAGGGAGCAAATGTGACCCAGCATTCTCATCTGCACAACTTGGTGAGACAAGGCAAGATTTTTTTATTGCAGTGGTGACTCAGGCCTAACTTATGCACTTGGAAATGTTTTGTATTTATTGGTTGCCCAAAATGAGAGCACGCCAGGGCTGCAGAAACGCTG